GCTAAATAACAGGCAATACTAAAATAATACATAAAATACACAAAAATGCCAACAAATAATAAAAAATGATACTTTTTGAAAAAAATCTGCTTAAAAATTCGTGTTTTTTTGGTTATTTGATAAATTTCTCCAAAAAATGCCCCTATAACCGGTGGTTTTTATTACTTTCTATTATTCTCTATCGTATTATCTTTGTAAAACCAAAAATCGCATGTCTCTATCCCTATCACAACATTTGCTATGATCGTTTGAACAAAGGCCTGCCACAACATTATTCTCCGCTACAGGTGATTTTACTTCGAAATCTTTTGTTTTTATTTGAAATCTAAATTGTCTTTATCAAAATTACAAATCTAGAGCCATTTTCAGTTTTGTTGTTAACGAAGCGTTGAATGGCGCGCCCGGAGAGGCTTAGTTCAAACGATCATTGCAAACGTTGTGATAGGGATAGAGACATGCGGATTTTGGTTTTACGAAGGTAATACGATAGAGAATAATACAAAGTAATAAAAACTACTGGTTATAGGGCATTTTTTGGAGAAATTTATCAAATAACCAAAAAAACACGAATTTTTAAGCAGATTTTTTTCAAAAAGTATAATTTTTTATTATTTGTTGGCCTTTTATTTATTTATTTATTTATTTATTTTGGCTTTTCAACAATAAGTACACTATTAAAATTTAAAATACATAACCAAAATTACATGTATAAGTGCTTTTTTGTGTATTTTATGTATTTTTTTAGTATCGCCTGTTATTCAGCATTATTACTGTTTTCATTTTATCAGGATATACCGCTTAGTTTAAAAGTTATTACGTTTTCTTTACAATAAGTAATTGGAAGAAAAAAAATTCTATAAAAAATTAAAAAAAAATCTCAAACATTTTTTGACCTCTTTTTTGTCGATAAAAATAGGTTTAGTTTCATCTATTTTCATATGTACACTTTAACGTGACTCACACTGTATACATTTCTTCTACTCTCTACAAGTAGCTCACGCGAATAGTTTGTATAGATTTTTCAATACTTTTATTTTATTGCTTTATTGCATGAAAAAAATACTTACAGATCTAATGCAATTCTGGACAAGGTTTCTATTAGTATTACTGTTTTTTTACAAATGAAATAGAAAGAAAGAAATAAAGAAAAGGTTATTATTTGGAGACCCTACCAAATCATTATAAGTGCCAGTATACCATAAGCTAAATTGAATAAAAGATTTTTGATTTAATTTGATTTTGATTAGATTTAGAATAATAAAAGCAAACTTAATGACTTCAAGCACTTTCTTCCAGTCATCCTAAAAAATACACTAAGCCAATCCAAATAGGTAGGTATCCACTAAACTACTTTTTAAAACGCGCATCATCGATCAATTAGCGCCAATTTATTTGTCATTAATGCTGTTCCAATTATATTTTACTTGAATCACAATAAACAATCTTATTATTATCTCAACAAGAGCTAAGTACAATTGAAAATGTTGGTTTATCAAATGGAAAAACTCTACTTTCTAGTTTACTGAAGATAAATCTTCTGAAAGACACGCGTTCACAATACATTAGCATTTAATAATACACACAATACATTAGCATTTATTAATGTCCTGATTTATTGTTTCTTTTTTGTGTGCCAAATAAATCATTCTTTCTTTCTTTCATTTATAACGTCGTCATCCATCATTTCAGCCACAGGACGTCCACTGCTGAACATAGGCCTCCCCCAATGATTTCCTTAATGACCGGTTGGTAGCGGCCTGCATCCAGCGCCTTCGCTACATTTAAGTAAAAAATTTAGCTAAATTTTATCGAAATGATAAAATTAGGACTTAATCTTTTCATATTTTCATTTCTACTTAGTTAAGTAATGTAGGTAGAGACAGAGATTTTGTTTCTAAGTTAGATTAATTATTAGTATAGTACATAGATATTTATTTATTAAGGCGATTAGAGTCCTCAATGACCTTGGGCGTTTGACCTTCACGCCGCGCGAAACACCCGCGCACCCCGCACGAAAACTCCGATTTGACACCGATCAAAATTACACGGGCATAAGTAGATACAGAATAGAAGCTCTTTTTTCATGACATTACTGCCTATTATTTTAAACTTGAATTGATGAACCTTGATGTCGGTGTCATTTAACTCAGGCGTAAAGGTATTTAATAAAAATAACACAATCCATGAACATTTTGTACGGGATATTTTTATTTTTTTTCGTAAGTTTTCTTATGTTTTTGTCGGTTCAGCCGTTCTCGAAATTTGAACATGTAATATGTAGGTAACTTCGGGTGGAATCTTGCAAGCTGAATTTGTTAGACCAACTTCCTGACGACAACTTTAGGTATTGGAACACATAGTAGTATTGTCTATGGTTTAAAAAAGCAAATGTTTTTTCTTTTGTCTATTGTCATTCTCTTTGTCAGTCACTTATGAAGAATAAACTGAAAATGTGTTTAATCTCGTCTTTTTATTAGAAATCCTTCAACAACTGATTGAGTTAAAATTTTGGAATATATGTAATTCGGATGACAATGCAATATTGTGATGACATGGAGTCGATCTGATGATAGAGCTGAAATGTCAGTGGACTCAGTGGCCCCATAGCAACTCCGGGATTAAACGATTCCATCGAATTTAGGCTCGTTTGATTTGTATTTATTTATTTATATATATGAATAATGGTCACCGCAGAATAACAGCGTCGTGTTCTGGTTTTATTACACTCCAGAGCATGACACATGCTGAGTGGTGGCCAATTTTGGTTCTAACTTATACTTGTTTTTTGTTATATCATTATGTGTGTTATATTTTTTAAGTTTGAACCAAATAAATGTTTTTCTTTCTTTCTTTCTTTCTTTCTTTCTTTCTTTCTTTCTTTCTATATAAGTAAGTATAATTAAGTAAGTAAGCTACTTTAAAAATCACGAGTACCTACCTACTTCAATTCTCAAAGGCAAACAGGGTCTGATGATGGAGCTGGAATGTGACCGTAGGAATAGGCTAGTTTCTTAAAAAAACACTTTTAGTCCGTCAATTACACAATCAAAAAATATTGGACACGGGATATTTTTATTTGTCAACAAACAAGTAATTACGAAGTTATGATGGGATGAAATTCCGCGTGACGTCACAAATCGCAACAATTTTCAGGACGCCTTAACGTCATGGGTCTCTTTTGAACTTTGGCGCGCTTTATCTCTTGAAATTTTCATAAGTTTAAGAAAGTGAAAAATACATTTAAAGTATTTTTTGGTAAGTTGACCGCGACGGACTAATTCAAACTCTTGCTTTACCCAGGAAACATCCCTATTCTTCGAAATTATTACGAGCTACATAACAAAAAATCTTTGCTACTACGCCGCAGCAAATTCCGCATCATAAATAAAAAAATAAATTAAAAGAAAATACCTTTTTTTTAAAACAAGTTTTTGTATGCTAATAATTTTAGTTTCATGACATGCTCCCAAAATTCATCATCTTATAAGAGGATTTCAGTTTTTTATCGATGAAACTTTAATTATTATAGCCTATAGGTACGTTTCATGGTTAGGTAATTTAGGGAAGTTTATTTGCACTTGACATGAAAAATATAGTATCAATGTACTGTGTACCTATGCAACTTCAGTGGCAACAACAAGGTCTATTGAGTCCCTATAGTCTACTAAAGGCATGAAATAAATTAATTTTCACCAAAAATTAAAACCAACTCCAAAACGAATCACCAAAAGGTAGGCTGTCACCGACTCCGAAAATATCAATCATGATATACGGGCATTTGTAATCAGTATCCACATTTTTTAATAAGCTCTATAGAACAATTTATCAATACCACTATATCTTATTTTTTTAACTGTGGTATTTTCGCGAAGAAACATATTGAAAATCTAATTCTAAATGGCCCATTTGCGCCGAGCCTAAGTATGAAAAATATAAATTGTTTTCTTCACGAAAATCGATTAAGTTACTGATTCTGACTCGCTCCTAATTTGGATACTGATTGCAAAGGCCTAGTAAATAAATAAGGGAATATATTTTCAACTTTTACTTATCTAGTGCCGTTTTTTTGGAGTCGATTTTTTTACACTAATAGATTCTATTTAGGTAGATAATAGCGTCCGAGCATGCCTTAATTCAATCGTATCGTCTGACTGAATGTGCTCTATGAACAACTCTGACATAAAAACTATTGTCAAACAAAGACTAGGTTGCACCATCTTATTTTAAATTTGACAAAAGTCAAAAATCTGTCAAACTCCATACAAAAAAACACCGGTTATCGCCAAAGCTACGGTCAAAGTTAGGTCACGTCAGGTGGTGCAACTCAGCCAAAGAAAAAATTCATTTTGATCGCTAATGTCAGTTTGCAGCGAGTGACACAACCTCCCCGTCTGAAGGCCAGCGGCCGACTGCCGCCCGCACCCCGCGAAGGCCCCCTCAACAGCAAAACGTTCGGAATTTATCAAAAGTAAAATTTATGAATGAAAGTAATGTTCGATTGAAAAACGCAACGTGTCATTTAAAGATTAAAGAATTCCTAATCTATTCGTGCAAAAATCTTTTAAATTAACATAGCCGTTTTGGAGGAGTAGGGAATTTAAGTAAAAAATCGATGTCCCGTATTTATTTTTTTAGTCCAAAACAAAGAGACGTAGCGAAAATTCAAACGTCACAAATGTAGTCCTTGAACTGTTGTATAACATATATTTTTTTCAACTATTTCTGTCCAGCAGTAAAAGAGGAGTAGGCTTTACAAAATGCCCATTTGACGCGGATTGAGGACTCTAATCGCCTTAAGAGGTTTTGCACTTTTAAGTCTTCAATTTACAATGGCGGACTTAATTTTTCGGATGGCATTCTCTACCAACACTGACCAGCACAGGCTGTGTGGTCTGTGTCTACCAATAAACCATCTTAAAGCCTATAGAATTTGTTGTAAGTTGATTGTATGATTCATATCTTACAACATTTATTAATTTTCAATTTTCTCCTTGTTTCAGGATATGAAGAAATGTACACAATATCCCAGCTATCACCAAAATCGGCTGCAAAAAACCTCCCCCCTGATGTCGTATTACAGACGAGTCGGACTGAAAACGTAGTGTTTAGAATAGAACCCAGCCTTATGGTGGATGAAGACTTAGAACCGGATACCATATTCAACAACGAAGAAAGAGAAGACCATGTTATAGTGGCCAGATCTGCCGATCCTGATAGAGAATCCAGATCTATCAATATAGATGATATACCATCGTCTAACAACGAAATTGATAATCACATAGAACTGCACAACAAAAGAAAGTACTACGAAATCAGACCAACAAAAACCCTGGATTATTTACGGAGTAGTGACGATGAGATTTTTATGTCCTCGGGATTCGGGGACAGATTAGAATTCAGGTTTCCGGGGGAAGGGAAAAGGGTCCCGGTAGCGAGGGCACTGACGCTCCCGGGGCCCCGAGTCCGGCCTACTGCAGTGCAGCCGATCTTTGCGACAGCCAACCTTAACCAGGGCCGTCAGAACACAGAGATACAGAACATAATCACAGGTATAGTCAAGCTTTTAAACGGCAACGTCAACGTCCAAGCTAATTCACAACTTCTTAATGGACGACCTGGCAGACCGATGGCTTCTAGAATCAACAACCGAGGTCCTCCAAGGATATCTGATCTGCCTCCACTAGACTTCGACCTTCCAGTCACACCACCTGTTCATGCTTATCAGCCAACCAAAACTCCTCCGCCATACCCGTTCGACAGACCTCCTTATCATGGTGTCAATTTACCTGAGCAAATTGTACCACCACTGACTCACAGGCCAGGATTCCACAGGCCGATGCCTCCGTGGCAGCGGCCTAGGCCAAGGCCTCCTGCCAGGCCAAATAGACCTGGCCTGCCTATGTACAAACCTCTACCACCGCTCCCTGCTGATCTTCCAGACTTAGAAGATAAGAAGCCAGAGGAAGAGATAACCGTAAGCGAAAACGAAACTAGTCATTCAGAGAATAACATACATCACGATGATAAAGAGACTGTGCCTTTATTGAACTTACCAGAGAACAACAGCACTGAGACTGAAGATGAATCAGAATTGGAAGTAGAAGAAGAAGAACTAACAACTACACCAGGAACCACATCATCAACATCAACAACAACAACTACAACAACTGAATCTACTACAAGCACAACCACAACTACAACGGAAAAGCCAACAACAAAAACGACGACAACAGAAAAAACTACTGAAAAGCTAACAACACCGGTAACAACAGAACAAACGACAACCTCTAGTACGACAACAGAGAAACCTAAAACAGAGAAGCTAACAAAACCAGAGAAAGACAAAAAGAAAGAGACAATTACTGAAAAGGATAAAATAAACAAAGATAAATACAAAATTGTTGATGACAAACCAGCTAAGCCAGTCAGAAATGAGACCATAGATCAGCCTATTATAGAGTCTTCGTTAGTGGAGATCAAAACTACTTCCACGTCATCTTTGGAAGCTCCTACTCCTACCGAGGGTCTGATAAGTCATTCTCCTACTCCAAGCAACTCGGCGAGCTCGGTGGATATTGTCAAGACGTCTTCTATCAACTCCCAGCCATTGCCATGTGAGTAGATGATATCATTGCATTATAATTACGTAGATTTGAAATTCCCATTTGCTGGATATTTTAAACTTTTAGCTGAGCTATAGAATTCTCAATAGTGTGGATTTTGTATACAGTCATGTCCTTTAAAAGTAACTTTATTAACTCAACCTTGGGATAATAATTGCTGAGAAGATGCAGCGCATAAAACTTGAACTTGAACGTGAGCTAGGTACTCATTTTTTTAACTGAAACTTCACTCCACCAGAATTTCTAGTATCTATACTAATATTATAAATGCGAAAGTAACTCTGTCTGTCTGTCTGTCTATCTTGCTTTCACGCCTAAACCACTGAATTGATTTTGATAAAATTTGGCATAGAGATAGTTTGATTCAAAGATTCAAAGATTATTTATTGAGTTCCGGGAAAGGACATAGGATAGTTTTTATCCTGGTTTTTGAAACAAAGACGCGCGCGATAAAGTTTTTCTGTGACAGACAAAATTCCACGCGGGAGAAGCCGCGGGCGGAAAGCTAGTGAGAGATTAAGACTGCAAGAGCTAACAAAAACTTCTATCCACAGCTTCCCAAGGCATCCCCTACCATCCATACCGGCCTCGTCCTGGCATAGTGCTGGACGACACAGACTTCAAGCCTCACGGGTCCAGACTCAGACCTTCAGAAGTGTCCGTCATTACTGCCCCGGAGACCAGGCTACCTCCGGGGTATGGGGAGATATTCGACGTGACGCTGACTGCTATACAGGGGCCGGGAGAGAAAGGAGCCACGGGTAAGAAAGAGCTTAGTTTAAAGCATTTCGTTCGTTCGTTTCAGCCAAAAGACGTCCACTGCTGGACACAGGCCTCCCTCAAGGATTTCCACAACGACTAGTCCTGTCCTTAAATAAATCATCAGTCCACCAAGTGGGAGGCCTTCTGCAGAATTCAATTTTTTGAAGAATTGTCTACAGGTTTAATTTAATTTGAGATTACCATTAAATCGGGAATCTTCAAGGTGAGAGTGAATAGGCACTTATGGGGCAGGTATGTACTATCCTGGACTGCATCTCACTTAACATCAGGTGCGATTGCGGTCAAAAAGGCAGATAGCCTTGTTTTGCATGAAAAAAAATGATCATAGGTACGCCACAGTGTTCAATTTAATAAATTAATTGTATCCTTATGAAGCTTTCAACTTTGTGATTAAAGCGTCTTTCAAAGCCTTTTTGCACAAATCAAATTACTTTTAGGACTCTTCCAATGTAACTTTTAAAATCTCTTTTTAAAAGATTAAAAGATCATTATTTTATTAGTGCATTAAAGAATACCTATCCATTTCCAGTCCACATCGAGAACGTGCACCCAATATCAGGGCACGAAGACGATGACGTCATTTTCTCAGCGTCAGGAGACCAGGGCTTCGTGTCCATCGACGGCAAGAAGACATACCTCAACCTGTTCGACAGCTCCACCGTGGGAGTCAGCGTCAGACCCACTAGGGTGCAGACCGCGCCGCAACATTCTGGTAGGTTGAAGGTTTTGATGAAGCGTTGGTAATGGGTTCAAATTGGGTGACGAGGGTACGCTGAGTGCCCGAGTAACTGCACTCAGGAGCCAACGCCACTCTCGTGCAAGTGTGGTTGTGTTCCTCAGTCGATGAAGCACATGATGTCGTTCCCTGCGTGCCCAAGCAACTGCACGCAGGAGGATTTAATGAATGCTGCTGACAACGCCACTCTTGTAGCGGAGTTTTGGGCTGACACTGTGTAGGTTTGTTGTCGACACGATAAGAAGAAGGGAACGCTTTAGAGAAGTGGGGGACTACTCCGGAATGCTGTTTACGTAGGGTTGAGTCTATCTGTCACCGTCGCTCATGCTAGCATCTAGCTTTGCGCGAGAGGGATGGCAACATACGAAACTTCGGATAACGTTTTTCGAAGTAAACTCGCTGGACCTTTTCTGAAGATGACGTCATCGTCTCAGCGTGTGGCGACCAGGACGAATCCTTGACAAATTGGTAGCTGGCGTGCAACAAAAAGTTTGCAAAATAAAACAAAATTGAAATAATTCACCAAATACTTGGATTTTTTTTTGTTTCTTTCTTTGGAGGTTCTAAAACAGTCATCTATCCTCAGAACTACTTAAACTGGTTGGGTTTCAGTGGCGACCAAATTGTTGTTTCTGGCTCGTTCCCACAATTCCCAGATAGTGGTGGAAACGAACGGGAGAATTCCTTTTGTTCTTAATCGAGTATTTTGCCGTCTATGCTATTATGGTCTTCAATTATGAAACATTTTTTTTTCTTATTTAATTTCCATTCTCTTTATTTCCAGCTCCACCACCATTACCACCGCCGCCGCTCGGCCAAGGCGTAGGCACGGGAGTGGCGATACCAGCCGACGATATACCGCTCCCCCCACCACCGCCAAGGAGGCCTACCCCCCCTCATAGACCGCAGCAGCCGTATAGAAGACCGCAGCCCACCGTCAGGTATGTCCTTGATACTGGTAGAGATGAAGAATGTATAAGTTAGGAGATGGTTATTATTTAGGCACGAGAGTTGCGATATTAGCTGATGACATACCTCTCATACCACCACCGCCAAGGAGGCCCACCCCCCCTCATAGACCGCAGCAGCCGTATAGAAGACCGCAGCCCACCGTCAGGTATGTCCTTGATACTGGTAGAGATGAAGAATGTATAAGTTAGGAGATGGTTATTATTTAGGCACGAGAGTTGCGATATTAGCTGATGACATACCTCTCATCCCACCACCGCCAAGGAGGCCTACCCCCCCTCATAGACCGCAGCAGCCGTGTAGAAGACCGCAGCCTACCGTCAGGTATGTCTTTATTATGAGATGGAAAATGTCGAACTGTCCTGTCCTTAGGTTGTCTAGAAGATATCGATTTATAGCGGTTAGTTAATTTGTGCCGTATCTTTTGTATATTTCTTTCTTTTACTTTTATTTTCTTGTCTTTTGTGGTATTTTCTATCTATCAGTTACAATTTTGTTGATGCTATTCTTAGAAAATGTGCTAATATTCTCCATGCATCCCTCTACGGAGAAGAATCGCCTGATGGAAAGTGATGAAATGCTTTATTCCATAAGTTTATGGGATGAATTTCGCCTTATTTACCAAATAATATGGCAATAAATATTTAACAAAAAAAATATTAGGCCGAAGCTAAGGTGGAGCGAGCTTCACCCGGAAATCTCAACACACAGAGAAAGTGACTATCTTATCTTCTATTGCCGAAACACAACAATCCTTCACATTATTTTTATGACTGAGTATAGTAATAGCTTGCCTGGCGAACTTAGAATCAGATTTCCACTTTTGCCTTCACTGGAAATTAAACCCGGGGTCTTCTAATTTTCTCTGTGTCTGGATTTGCATATTTTGTCTCAAAGAATGTTGTTTTCTTCCCAGAATCGACACGTGCATCGTTGGAGACGACTCCACCTGCGACCAAGCGCAGAACGAGAAGTGCAGGACTGAAGCAGGTAATTCCTCAACCAAACCTTCCTTAATATTGGAAAACGTAGAGCATTTTGAGATCGTGACTGCACAGTATTATTTCTTTAGAAAAGGACTGATTCTGATTCTTAAGACCTCAATTATGGGTTCGTCGAATACAAAGGAACCAGAGCAGAAGAGTGTTTTAGAACCAAAATCACTTCTTGTCAGATCAGACTTTTGCATGTAGTACCTACCAGTTGTACCATGTATTGCTAAGTACAGAACTAGTTTAAACCTAGTAGCTGTAGTCGGTGCTGCTGTATGTAGACTAATTCCAAAAAATTTTTTTAGTCCGTCATGTTTAATATCAAAAAATATTGGACACATATATTTTTATTTGTCAATCTAACAAATAATTACATAGTTATGGTGCGTTGAAGTTCCGCACGACGTCACAACGTGCGGCACTTTTATGCAAGCATTGACGTCACGGGCCTCTTCTTATGAACTTTGGCGCGATTTATCTCTTTAAATTTTCATTAGTTTGAAAAAGTGAAAAATACGTGTAGAGTATTTTTTGATAAGTTAACTGACGGACTAATTAAAACTCTTGCTTTTTGACCCAGGAAACATCCCTATTCTTGCAATGGTTTGATCTGTATTGATAGGTCAGTCAATAACGGCCTAGACAGACTGCTTGCTTTCTGGAGGAATCTGGGGTGGTTGAAGTAGGAAAATAAACCACAAATCGCTCACAATGACCTACACATGAGGCTAAGTGCGGTATTCGATTGCCTTGCAAAACTAATTAACGGCCTTTTTAGGTATATATTCTATATTCTATATATAAAAGAAAGTCGTGTTGGTTACACCATTTATAACTCAAGAACGGCTGAACCGATTTAGCTGAAAATTGTCAAGGAGGTAGTTTAGAGCCAGGAGAAGGACATAGGATACTTTTTATCCCGTTCGAAATTAAAAAAAAGTCTGCTTATTTATTGCCATTAAGGCGGAACAAAGTTCGCCGGGTCAACTAGTTAAATCTAAAATAAGAATTCTTCTCCAGGCATATCCAGCTGCCAGTGCCGGCCGGGCTACGCGCGGCGCGTGCAGCGTGACCCGTGCCGCCGTGTCGTGGCCCTGCTCCTCAACCTCAGGGTCGACAAGTTCTACGAGAGGAAGGTAGATAAGACACTAGTGCAACTTTCCCTTAGATCTTAGCTTAGGGCTTCCCCCACATCAGGACTTAAATAGGGGTAGCGTCTCAACCTCAGGATCTACAAGTTCTACGAAAGAAAGGTGCGTAGCAACCAGATTGATACCAGTGCAACTTTTCCCTTAGAGCTCAGCTTAGTGCTTTTCTAGAAGAGCATCTTGTCTACTTCAGCAGGACTATGCCCACGTCTTGTTCCCACCGATGTAGCTCTTGTGTAGCCAGGATCTACAGCTTGACCGTCAATAACCCAGCCAGTGAAGGCCAAGTTTCTCCCGCAACTAAATTGATCAGAAGAATTTTGAAGACGAAAGTCCGAGAATAGGTATTTTTAGAGAAGTGTCGCCGCATGAGGGCCCTGCTCCTCAACCTCAGGGTCGACAGGTTCTACGAGAGGAAGGTACAGTCACCAGTCAGACCAGGAGCCGTTTTCAGAAGCATCCAGCACTTTCCTGCAACCTTTATAAGGTTCACCTAGCTGGTAGAGGTCCCTCGATTTGATCAGATAGAGCCATGTCTCAGACGCCTTGGCAGTTCATGAAATCTGACTCTTGGGCTGTGAATTGACTGTTGCAACTCACATGACAGTAGACGAAGAAGAACCCATTACTACCATTTTGATATGGGATAAAATATAAAACTATACTCACCAGGACTTCAGAAACTAGTGAGTTAAACAATATTTCTTGCCATAATTCAGGTTAATAACTGTATTCTTTGCTTATTTCAGGTTGCCTGGGATGCGAAGCTAGCAGACAAAGACTCGGAACCGTATCAACTTCTCAGCTATGAAGCGTTGAAAGCAGTAAGTATTTTGAACACATTCAGCAGTTCTATCATCATCACCTTCAGCATCATCTTCACGAAACTTACGATGATGATGATGACGGAACTGCTTAAGAGAATATCCCTTTTTCTCCGTCTGACCAGCGTGAGGAGTGTAAGCCAATCCTTTGTCCGCCTCTGGTAATGAGGGCTATCGTTTTTATACTTAGCAGTTGGCACCCCTAGCGATTGACAGGACCTTACTCTAGAGTGGCGCCATCTTGATGAGTGCAAATGCGATAGTCCTCCTACCACTTTAGCGCTCACAAGTTGGTGCCACTGTCTTCGCTACTAGCAAGTGACAGGACCTTACTCTACAGTGGCGCTAACTGGTGAGCGCTAAAACGATAGCCCTCATTGAGAAAGTTGTGCTGTGCTATGATCTGATGATGATAATTACTTAATTATTTCTCAGATCGACTCGACCTGCTCAATGACTCCATTATTTGGTATATTAGAGAGGGTCGAGCTCCAACACTGGAGAATGAATAGCTTAATGATGGTGATGTTGATAATGTAAATGATGACCCGATGATGATGAATGAATGAAAACTAATTTCTCAGGTCGATTCAGTATTCCCAATGAATTCACTCTTGGATAAATTACGAGATTGTCATGCTCCTAAAAGATCTGATGATGATGATGATGATGACAATAATGATGATGATGACAATGATGGTGACGAGAATAATGATGATGATGAAACTTCCTCAGATCGACTCAGCCTTCTCAATGACTCCATTCTCCGATGACTTCGTGAGTGGCTCCGTGAACTCCATCCACAAGGGCGACGAGAACAACCAGGGGGTGTTCGTTAACTACACCATTTTGGTGAGTAGAATATTCGTTCGTTCGTTCGTTTCAACCGAAAGACGTCCTCTGCTGGACAAAGGCCTCCCCCAAGGATTTCCACAAAGACCGGTCTTGCGCCGCTCGCATCCAGGCACCTCCCGCGGCCTTCACCAGACCGTCGGTCCACCTAGTGGGAGGCCTGCCCACGCTACGTCTTCCGGCTCGTGGTCGCCACTCAAGAACTTTCCTGCCCCAGCGGCAGTTCTCCTGCGGATCTCCTCATTTCTGATTCGATCACGCAGGGAAACTCCGAGCATAGCATGCTCCATCGCCCTTTGAGTAGAATATTATAATCCAGGCTTTAAACACATAATCAGCAGTATAATATTATCTATCTTAAATAGGTATGAATGGCTCAACTGTATTTGCAACGATGCGGGGATTGTTTTTGTGACTTCATAATGTTAGAGAAACTTCAGATGTGCTTCAGAAACGATGCCGTATGACACCGCTTCATTGTCGCAGGAAGCTTCATCTTGAGTCAGTTTTAAGAGAGATGTATCTTCGTGTATTTGTTCTCAGTTAGAGTCCTACATTGTAGGCTAGAAGCAATCTAATTGTCCTAAAAATAAAATAAGATTACACAACACATTTGAGTCCTGTCGGTCGGATAATTAGCTATGTCACATGGCAGCTTATTAAGCCGCTAGTTGTTGCGTCAAGTACCCACATAGAAGAAAAATGTCATAATGATGATAAAATAATGTCCCTTTCATCAGGTTCCATCAGCTTCCATCTGACTTTAAAATAGTTGTTGTTGAATTCCATCCAATACGAAAGAAATCTCATAATCTTTCCAGCCAAAGCATTGTCGCACCAAAGCTAAATCGTCACCATCATATCATTATCACTCATCAACTGATTATCCTTATCCAGATGCAAGAAACCCCGGAGACTCTCCGGCCGGCGGTAGCAACAGACGTACAGAAGCACCTGCTGGGCGTGATCCGGCGCCGCTCCAACAACGTCGGCGCCTCCAAGCTGTTCGTGGACTCGCCCGCCGGCAGCGTGCTGCCTCTCACAGGTCAGATATAGTGCCTGCAGTCTTTTGGAGATCTAGGAACAAAGGCAGTCTTCTTTCCCACTAGGCATCCTGGACAGCTGCCAAAGATGAAGAAGCAAGACACTCAAGGCAGCAGCATTTGGTCAGATCCAGGAGCGTCTTCACCATTTCAACCTACTGGGGTCTCTAAACCATAAGCAGGCCTTTCTTTCCCACTAGGCACCCTGGGCAGCTGCCCTTGGAAGGTACAGATACAGGAGCGTCTTCCACTTTTCAGCCTATTGGGAAGTCTAGGCCATGGTCAAGAAGGAACTGCTACATGGAGCAGTCTCTTATTTCCCACTATTTAATCTGAGCAGCTGCCTTCAAAAGATACAGATACTGGGCCGTCTTTTACCTATCAGGGACCTTCAGTCTAAACGCAGGTCTTTCTTTCTTTCTTATTGAACACTCTGAAAAGTTTGATCTGGGGTCGTGTTTTATCTACTGGGTGCATCCCATTGTCGTAACTTTAGGTCTATCGGGGGGACTAGTATTGTAACTATGGCGACCTAGGGCTGTCTTTGGGTATTTCTCATCGCCACGGTTCTCATCGTCACCTTCGTGGCGAATTTTATTTCTAACTTATTTCAACTTTTTGTAAACAAAAATTGTAGCGCTTGATGTGAAGATTGTATTCTCAGTAAATCAGTCAAACAGTGAGTCTCGTTTGGAAGCTTTAACGTTTTGAATTTTTTGATGCCACGAAAGTGATTCTGTACTTGACAGCACTCATTTTTTCAAACTTTACTACTGTAAATGACTCTTAAGTGTATATAAAACATATATTTTGTCTTATTTTCATAGATAAATAGCAATAACATAATATAAATAGGTACCTACTTAAATACAAGATAAAATTTTACCGATTAGGTCACCTACTAAGTTACAAGATTCTACGCAATTGGTTTTAAGGGTGACACTGGTGGCATTCTGAAATGCTAAAGAAGCAAAAAACGGATTATCAGTACCTCAATAAAAAAGAACTCTAACTGATTATCAGTCCCTCAACAAAAATATATTCTTTATTTAGGCCAGAGGGCCTCGTATTTTTGTTGTACAACTTTTAACTCAAACTTCAGATTAAATTTATCTTACAAACAGATACACAGTCACGTCATATCAGACATACATACAGTCATACAGACAGACAACAAAAATACGAGGCCCTTATTTATTTATTTATTGATGTACTGATCTCTACTTTACCACGTATAATTATTATTATTAAAATATTGTAAAAACATAAACACCAGTCACTATATTTTAAAATAAACCAAAGCAAGAAATCACTTTCGTGGCCTAAAATCACCTTCGTGTATAAAACACCACAAAGGTGATGCCACGAAGGTGACGAAAATTTTGGTTTTTTATGAATTATCCTTAAATTTGAATTTAACGGTTCAAGTTGAATACTACACAAATAAGTCTAACATGTTAAGTTTTCAATGGCAAAGTTTCAATTAAATTATTTAAAGTTTAGAGGTAGAAAATATTGTTCAAGCAAGCGACGGTATGTCTATGGACAATCACAAAAAGCTACGTATTTCTTTCGCAGAGTGACGATCGACCTATCTCACCTCCCCAATGGTCGAAGCGTGACTGACGTTAACCGAATAGAACGCTATGATTGGTTGCTGGTGTTCGGTTTAACGGCAATCTTGTATTATTACATATATGTTTCTCACACTTCAACTGGCATTGGATTCAACATCGGATTCCGACACTTTTACAGTTATGATACCATGAATATCAGTTTAGGGTCCTAATTATTTTTATTTTATTTACGACCTTCGACCAGTTGGACACTTTAGATAGCTTCTTGTAATAGGTGTCAATATCTTTTTAGCTTTTAACGCAAATCTAGTCTTCAAAGCAGTTTAATCGATTTATTTTATTTTCAAAATCGATATTTTATTGTCTATGATGGCCGCAGGAACATCACTATACATGGACTCCCAGCAATAAAGTACGGTAATGCCTCGTACAGATTCTATCGGCAAAAATTATGGAACTTGATAGGTTTTAGACCATGCCACGCACCAAAACGTCCGGAAGTTGTAATAGTATTATAGAATAAACGTTGAAAGACTTATTTATTTAATTTTTCAATGCTTAAGTGTCCATTAGAATGAAAGGGTGCTTAATGTATTTAAAAAAATAGAAAATAATTATGATGGGTTCATGTTTTTGGGCGGTTTTTTAGGCGGTTTCTGACAATGTCCTTTATTTTGTATGTAGCTAAATAGCTATTTTATCATCTGATTTCAAAGGTATTGTTCTAACTTATACCGTTTATGAACTATTATTGTGTGACCATCAAATTTGAGTGTAAATGAGAAGTAACCCTTTAAGCTACTGGGGGCTCTAGCATAGATATAAAGAACTCCCCTCGACTCTCCGGCCGGCGGTAGCAACAGACGTACAGAAGCACCTGCTGGGCGTGATCCGGCGCCGCTCCAACAACGTCGGCGCCTCCAAGCTGTTCGTGGACTCGCCCGCCGGCAGCGTGCTGCCTCTCACAGGTCAGACACAGGTCTATAGTATCTTGGAGACATTGGGACAAAGGCAGGTCTTTCTTTCTCACTAGGTACAGACACAGCTGGATTTGGACAGCTGCCAATAATGAAGATACTGAGCCAGGACTTTCTTCTACTCTTCAGCATATTGGGGAGTCTTAGCCATAACCTAGAGAAAGGGCCTAATAGGGAAAGAAGTGCTAGCCTATGGGCTAGCACTTCTTTCCCTGGACGGCTACCCTCAAAAGGTACAGATCAAGGAGATTTAGTTTAATAGAGACCCAGGTCACAGCCAGGCTGTTACTCGGCATTCTGGGCAACTTAGAGACCTAGGTCATTGACAAGCCCCTAGTCTTTCCCATTTTACATCCTGGGCAGCTGTCTTTGGAAGGTTTGATCTGGGGTCGTCTTTAATCTATTGGGTGTGTCTTAGTGCCATAAGTAGAACCATTGGGGGCACTAGTGCTACATCTAGGGTGATCTAGAGCCGTTTTCAAAGTAGACTATAGCGGACCGCCTGAGGATATAGGCAAGCTTCTCTTTCTCACTAGGCACTCAGCAGCTGACTTTGACAAGTCAGATACAGGTCTATAGTCTCTTGGAGACATTGGAGATACAGGCAGGGTCTTCTTTCCCACTAGGTAACCTGGACAGCTGCCAAAAACAGGACACTCAAGGCAGCAGCATTTGAAAGGTACAGATACAGGACTGTCTTCAACTCTTCATCCTATTGGGCCATAGTATAGCGAAAGAGCCCAATAGGGAAAGAGGTGCTAGCCTTAGGGCAGCAGCATCTGAAAGGACAGATCCAGGACCTTCTTCAACTATTCAAGCTATTGGGGACTCTTGGCCATAAGCAGGCCTTTCTTTCCCACTAGGCACTAAACACAGGACACTCAAAGCAGCAGCATTTGAAAGGTACAGATACAGAAGCGTCTTCCACTCTTCAAGCTATAGGAGACCCTAGACCTTAAGCAAGCCCTTCTTTGCCACTGGGAAAACAGAGCAACTGTCCTTAAAAGGTACAGATCTAGGGCCGTCTTCATTCATCTTCTAGTTTATTAGGCAAACTTTTTTTTTCTCACTGAGCACTCTGGCCAGCGGTATTTGAAAGGTTTCAGGTTCGATCCCCAGAAGGGGCAAAACTTTTTACTCTGTTGGTGGTAGGGCTTGTTTTAAGTTCCACAGGCTAGCTACCATCATCTCACCTAAATTTTTCGTGGAAATGGTACCTTTCCAGAATATTTTTCCTAGGTTCTATAGACTTTGTAGGTACCCATTGTTAACTCTACTAGTTTGTATAACGTATACGCCTTTGTTGCAGACGTGGACGAGTGTGCTTCTCCAGAGCTGAATGATTGTCACGAGCTGGCCACCTGCACTAATACTTTCGGAGGATTTAGGTAAGTCTTCTGACTTCGTAGATTAATGAGAAGTTACAAGAAAGAGTAGATAAGTACTAGTGATTCTGCTGATTTGCAGGAATAGTCACCATCCTACTATAATATTATAAAGGCGAAAGTTTGGATGTCTGGATGTCATGATGTCTGGATGTTTGTTACTCTTTCTAGCAAAAACTACTGAACGGATTTTGTTGAAACTTTACAGTATTATTGTTTATAACCCAGATTAACATATAGGCTAACTTATGACGATATGTGACAAATAAATTTCAATAAATAAATAAGACGTGTCTAAAAAGCGCCATCTACCTATCGTCATTGGTTAAAATCTACAGCGCTGGACAAACTACTGTATATGACGTTCGTAAATACTCATTCGGGGGAAGCCGTGAAACGCCATCTATCAATATGATATCTAACGGGGGTAAAACGAGGTCCACGCGAACGAAGTCGCGGGCGACCGCTAGTCTTCCATAAACTGCAAAAAGGTTCATGAATATAACTTTGAATTCCGCATATAGGTGATAGCTCTCTAAGATTACTCAAGCTATCCAGAGGAACATCACCGGTTGGATCATGGATCTAACTTAGCTATAGAATTGTATTTCTCATCCTCAGGGGTGAATCCACGGAAAAAGCTTGTTGTATAAATAGACCGCCTGTGGTCTAGTGGTAAGACCACCTGCTTCAGACGCAGAGGTCTCGGGCTCGATTCACAGTGGGGGCAGATTTTTCTGTTCGGTTTGGTTGGTGGTAGGGCTTGTTCTAAGTCCGCCTGGCTAGCTACCATCATCTTACCTAAGTCGGTCGCCATAACAACAATGTTAACAACATTGTTGTGTTCCGGCAGTTAGAGGTAAGATAGTCAGTTCCTCCGTGGTTGAGGATTCCGGGTGAAGCTCGCTTCCACCTTCGGCCTGATCGCCACTTACCATCAGATGAGATACAGGCCAAGAGCTTCCTCTTTGTGGATAAAAAAAAAAGATCTACAGTTTTAACCTGGAGTTTGAACAGTGGGACTCAAGAGTTGAAAATTAGTTCTATGTTACTCCAAAATTGTATTATTTTTGGATACCAATTGATTTAATTTCTTCTTTTCAGATGCGCATGTCCCGACACGACGCTAGACGAGTCAGCGGGCGTCGCGCACCGCGCCGGCCGATTCTGCCGCGCCTGCGCCGCTTCTCATTGCAACGAGCGCGGCGTCTGCAAATACAGCAACAACCAGCCTTATTGCAGGTACGAATAGGGATAATTTTTGCATAGCAACATGTGGTTGATAAGGGTCATTATTATGTAGCTTGGGTGCCGATCTTCGCACTGCAACGAGCGCGGCGTCTGCAAGTACAGCAATAACCAGCCTTACTGCAGGTAGGAATACGGTTCATTGTTGCTTGGCAACATGTGGCTTACTGCTGCCAAACTTTGTGCGAATGTGGTAAAGCCTGGTCCGTGAGCACGTAGAATCCCGTCCAATGACCCCAAGCTACCCATCCTTATCGCTCGCGCGTAATTATATTGCTGTCGCAACTGTGCGACTGGCACCCGCAGTGAGTGTGCGAGCGCGATAGCAACATAATTACGCGCGAGCGATAGGGATGGGTAGCTTGGGGTTATTGGACGGGATTCTACGTGCTCACGGACCAGGCTTTAGCTGTAGGTACAGAAAAAAAAACAATCTTACTGCAGGTAGGATTAAGGTTCATTGTTGCTTAGCTACATGTAGTACCGCGCAGGCCGAGAGTTATCGTGCTGGTGCCGCTTTGAACGAGCACGGCGTCTGCAAATACAACAATAATCAGCCTTACTGCAGGTAGGAATAAGGATAATTTTTGCATAGAAACATGTGGTTGATAAGGGTCATTATTCTGTAGCTTGGGTGCCGATCTTCGCACTGCAACGAGCGCGGCGTCTGCAAGTACAGCAATAACCAGCCTTACTGCAGGTACGAATAAGGCTTATTATTGCATAGCCACATGTAGTTGATAAGGTTCTGGAATTGAGGTCACGTGCAGACAGATGACCTCATAAAGGTAGCAGGGAGGCGCTGGATGCGGGCCGCTACCAATCGGCCAATCAGGAAATCATTTTAGAGGAGGACAGTCAGAGGACGTCCTCTGGTTGAAATGATGATGACGACGAGATGACGATGATTTGTATATGCAAAAAACTCATTTATTTATTCAAGTAGCTTATAAAAAATCACTTTTACACGTCCCAGTATTAACCCTACCACTGCCTCAGGACAATAAATGGGCCAGTGCTGAGAAGAAGCAGCGCAAGAAACTCAGACACTATTGTCAGCCTCTTTTTCAAAGGTTTACAGATTTTAAAATATTACATAGTTATAAATATTTATATAAATGCGAGCTAGGCAGATAAGCATCCCAAACATTTTTAAATCCTTCATCATCACCATCTATTAGAACAAGGACTATCGTCACATTGATGTTCAAAGTAGTTTTATGCAAATCACAGCTGGTATTTGACTACAATCATATCCTTTGTACCTATGCCCAGTAAACGCCTATTCACTCTCACTTTGAAGAGGCCTAAGTTATAATCGTTTTAGCCAAATGACGTCCACTGCTGGACAAGGGCCTCCCAAGGTTTTCCGAGTTATATTTTACTACAATGTATTTGAACTTGTGATAAAGTATTGTAAGTGTTCAGAAAAGTCTGATAAAGAATTAATGTTTGTTTCAGCTGTTCGTCTGGATACTACGGTTCCACGTGTGAGGTTGACGGCGAAGTGGTAGGCGTGGCAGTGGGGGCTTCCCTCGCTGCTGCCCTTGTGATCGCGCTGACACTCGCTGCCTTGCTGTCTTGGAGGTAAGTGTTTACTAAGTAATAGATAGACTACTAGGTTACAGCTAGACGATGACTAAATAATGGCCAGTGGACGACGAAGCGAGGAATAGTCGGCTAAAGCCCGGTCTGCGAGCACGTAGAACTTTGTCCAATGACCCCAAGCTACCCATCCTTATCGCTCGCGCGTAATTATGTTGCTGTCGCGCTCGCACACTCACTGCGGGCGCCCGTCGTACAGTCGCGTCAGCAATATAATTACGCGCGAGCGATAAGGATGGGTAGCTTGGGGTCATTGGACAAAATTCTACGTGCTCGCGGACTATGGTGGAATACAGCTTCTAGGTTTCGTTTGTCGCTGCGCCCAATCCACGAGTATCCACGGAAGACCAGCGTCGTGGTGTCCCTTACGACACCTCGACATGATGCTGAGTGGATACCGTTTCGGTGACACGCACATTACCTATTCTCTTTACTTTTGTTAAATATTTTTGATTTGTGTCGCTGAATAAAATATTTCATTTTCATTTTTCATTTTCATTTTCAATCATTGTGCTGAAACTCACCGCTCTGTTAAGAATAGTGAAGTGATGAATGGAAGTCCAGCTGAGTAGAGAACTAGAGAGACTAGCTTACTTACGTGTGAGGTGGATGGTGAAGTTGTAGGCGTAGCAGTGGGGGCTTCCCTTGCTGCGCTTGTTATAGCACTGACGCTCGCTTCCTTGCTGTCTTGGAGGTGAGTAATGAAGATAGTGGAGGGGACAACTGGGTTATGGCTTATGGTCAATAGGTTATGGCTAGTGGACCATGAAATACTAAGTAACGGCTAGGAGACGACGAGTTGATTGGTGGTTGATGAGTGATATGAAGTGAATAGAAAAGGCGAATTAATGGCTGGCGCGTTCATCGCCCTACGTACTTGTAGGTAAGTTGTAAGTGAGTGAAGAGGACAAGTGATAACTGGCGGACGGTTAGGTTGTAGCTTGGGAACTAGGACGACTAGGTTATGAGTAGGGGATGACTAGGTCATGATTAGGGGATGACTAGGTTTTGAGTAGGGGATGACTAGGTTATGAGTAGGGGATGACTAGGTTATGAGTAGGGGACGACTAGGTTATGAGTAGGGGATGACTGGGTTATGAGTAGGGGATGACTGGGTTATGAGTAGGGGATGGCTAGGTCATGATTAGGGGACGACTAGGTTTTGGGTAGGGGACGACTAGGTTATGAGTAGGGGATGACTAGGTTATGAGTAGGGGATGACTAGGTTATGAGTAGGGCATGACTGGGTTATGAGTAGGGGACGACTAGGTTATGAGGAGGGGGTGACTAGGTCATGATTAGGGGACAACTAGGTTATGATTAGGGGATGACTAGGTTATGAGTAGGGGATGACTAGGGGATGACTAGGTCATGATTAGGGGACAACTAGGTTATGAGTAGGGGATGACTAGGTTATGAGTAGGGGATGACTAGGTTATGAGTAGGGGATGACTAGGTTATGAGTAGGGGATGACTAGGTTATGAGTAGGGGATGACTAGGTTATGAGTAGGTGATGACTAGGTAATGAGTAGGGGATGACTGGGTTATGAGTAGGGGACAACTAGGTTATACCTTGGGGACGACTAGTTTATGATCAGGGGACGACTAGGTAATGACTTGGGGACGCCTAGGTCATGATTAGGGGCAACTAGGTTATGCCTTAGGGACGACTGGGTTATGTATGAGTAGAGGATGACTAGGTTATGAGTAGGGAGACGACTAGGTTATGGCTAGGAAAAGGCTAGGCTATGACTAGAAAATATCTAAGTTATGGCTAGGGAACGACTAGGTTCTGGCGAGTGGACAACGCAGTAACGACGATAATTTTATCCCTTCAAGTACCTGCGACTCGAGACACAATATAAATCAATTTCTAAGAGGTCTTAAAAAGCGGTTTGATAGGATAAATAATGAATTGTACTGTCCTTTTATTTATTTGGTATCAAAGATATTACAATACAAATCAACATAAAGAGGAAAAAAAGGTATAATAATTGTGTATGAATATAGTGTCACGTTTTTGTTACCAGATTTTTTTTAAATTATAACCCATTGTATCTCCAACCCCCAGCCGCAAGTGGTCCCGCGAGCAGAAGGCCATGGGCATGGGGTCGCCGGTGTTCAACTACATGGCGGCCAACACCATCAAGACGCCGCCGGTCGGCCAGCCGCCCTACCAGGTATGAATGTTCAGGGTTCGATGACGTTGAGGGTCATTTCAGTATGCTTTTAATTGTGTATTTAACTATGACACCATCCAATACAAGACACAGGCCCGGTTTCTATAGTGAGACTTTTCCAGCTTGAACGTTCATATAGGTAGGTACCTACTTGATTTAAAGTTGAGCAAGCTCATACCTAAAATCTCAATTACAGTTATAAAGAATAAAGTATTTTAGACGGCAAATAAAAAAAACAGTACATTACACTGCTGAAAACATAATTATTTTTTAATTAACTGTAATCTTTGCAAAAATTAATTGTCAGTCTATCCAGATTCAAACCTCACGATGGATGCCATTGCCCTTTTTCTTTACACATGGAAAAGTCACGTTCTATCAGCTCGATAAATAATTGACAGTCGATTTCTTGTCCCCTATTTCAATTAGAATGGTGCATAATTAGCTGCTTCTATTAAAATCATATTGTTAAAATTGAGGTGGATATCAATATTTATTTCTTCTTTAACAGGTGACATTGGAAGAAAGGATGAGGTGGGCGCAGATAGCAGAAGCTATGGCGCAAGCGCAGGCCAACCACTATGCGGTGAGTAATTAACTTACCTTTTATACGACAGTAAAGAAAGAAGAAAGAAAGAAAGAAAATAACTTTATATGGCAACAACAAATTCAGGCAACATAGACATATACAAAAAAATAATAACTAAGTTGCCAAAAAAGGTCACCCACTCAGCAATATCTTGACAGTGTGACTGCCAAGACACTGATTTTCAGTGGGTGCCTTTTGCAGCGCTATACAAAAAAAATAATAATAAAAACCATAAATTAATCATTCAAAAAATTAAAATTAAATAATAACAAAATACATCATTCATTAAATTAAAACATAACAATATTATTAATAATACATACATACACATGTCAAAAACAAAAACCAATGCTACAGACAGAGAAAAAAAAATACAATTAAAAAAAACAATGTCACTTGTCAAGTTGACCAGTGGTGCCAGATTAGGCGAATTATCGCCATTTAGGCTACCTCTGGGGGTCAAATGGCGACCAAAAAATGCAAACGGCTACCGGTAGCCATTTAGGCTACCTAGAAAATAAGATCGGGCTATTTAGGCTACTTCAGGATTACCTTGGAAAAATAAATCCTAACCTAGTATTCTGTAATTCAGTTAGTTTTTTAAAATGACCCCTACCCCCTTTACTACTCCATGAAAGTCCAAACTCTATACTAAATCCGTAATTTTTTTTCTAAGTGTCAGCTCCATACAAATGACGTTCGAAAATTCAGTTATAGATGACCCAGGCTGAACTGTCCCACCAAACTCAATGACAGGGGGGCGCTACCATCGTTTAACTATATGGTTTCCAACATGGCAAAAATCGGAACCAGCGATCCGGTATTGACGGTGGCGCCCCACTGTCAATGTCATGCATAGGACAGTTCAGTATTTTGGAACTANTGCAGAAGTGAATGCTACACTACAATAAAATAATAAATATAACTTAGAATACTACTTAATTATGCACTAAACCACCAATCTGATCCTTTTTCTAATTTAAAATTTTTTAGCAAGAAAAATGACGTCCACCAAGTACGACGTTTCCCGCGCTTTTTCTAGTGATGAGTTATGAGTATTGATTTGAGAGAAAGTGTCAAACAAATGGACACGGAAGTCGAATTTTCGACTAATCCGAGTGAAAAGCACATCTCTATAAAACGTTTCATTCCACTCTAATATTTTTGGACTATTCAAAAAATAAACAAAAAGATGTTTTCGTTGCGAAGATTTTATAATTTTAAATAACTGTTTCTTTAAAATGGCCGAGAAATGTTCAAATGTATCTGTCTAGTGTTAACAAAGTAGTGGTTACTACAATTGAGAATGTTACTAGGTATGCAAAATCACTTGAAACCTATGTTACAGTTAAGCTTTTACATTTACAAATACATTAGTTTTTATTTCATTCAAAAATACCCAGTAGTTATGATTTTATAGGCATTCAAAGTTCGCTTAAATATTGAGTCCCGCCGACGGTCACGTGACCCCGTGTGACGTACATTCACAGCGTCCGCTCACTAGAAAACGGATATAAACATACTTAATTTTTTTTTTTTTGTAAATACATACTTATTAGTGTCGCTTAACTTCAAACCAGTGGTGCCAGATTAGGCGAATTATCGCCATTTAGGCTACCTCTGGGGGTCAAATGGCGACCAAAAAATGCAAACGGCTACCGGTAGCCATTTAGGCTACCTAGAAAATAAGATCGGGCTATTTAGGCTACTTCAGGATCCTACCTTGGAAAAATAAATCCTAACCTAGTATTCTGTTATTCAGTTAGTTTTTTAAAATGACCCATACCCCCTTTACTACTCCATGAAAGTCCAAACTCTATACTAAATCCGTAATTTTTTTTCTAAGTGTCAGCTCCATACAAATTACGTTCGAAAATTCGGTTATTTGGCTAAGTCCTGCACCCCCTTTGCTACACCCTAACCGTACATAAATAATAATGATCAAAGTCTGTTTACTTTACACATTACCGGTGGGCCAGCTGGACGTATTCTATACAATGCCTAGGAATTACATACACCTGTGACCNTGATCAAAATCTGTTTACTTTACACATTACTGGTGGGCCAGCTGGTATTCTATACAATGGTAAAATATTAATTGAACAATAATATTTTATACATTGATTACGCGCCCCAGGCATTGATTTTACACATTGACTAGGGATTGTATAGAATTCCTAAATTATACAAATTGCCGCTAACACATACATTACGCACACACTTACACGCAATACAAATACACGATTTAAGAAAACAACACATGGCCGCAATATAGGAAATGACAGGTTTTGTGTGTGTGTGTGTGTGTGTGTGTGTGTGTGTGTGTGTGTGTGTGTGTGTGTGTGCGCGTGCGTGTGTTTGTGTGTGTGTGTGTGCGTGTGTGTGTGTGCGTATGTGTAGTTGTCAGCTGATTGNCACACACTTACACACAATATAAATACACGATTTAAGAAAACAAATGGCCGCAATATAGGAAATGACAGGTTTTGTGTGTGTGTGTGTGTGTGTGTGTGTGTGTGTGTGTGTGTGCGTGTGCGTGTGCGTGTGTGTGTGTGTGTGTGCGTGTGTTGTGTAGTTGTCAGCTGATTGCCTATATTGCGGCCATGTTGATTTCTTAAATACAATTGTATGTACTCGGCACAAGTCAGGTAGTTAGTGACGTCACAAAAATGTTGCCAGAGTAGTTGAGTAGGCTAACCAAACATTATCTATCTCTTTTTTCATACGTCACCATGGGTAAGTTAGAAAGAGATAAACAGATAAACAGCTGTTTGTCATTAATGTGTCGATTTGATATGTATTTTTGTATACTTACCTCAAAATGTTAGGCGAATTAGGCTACTTCAGGAAAAAAAAATATTAGGCGATTTAGGCTACTCGGTAGGAAAAATTAGGCGAATTGAGTTAGCTGATATCTGGCAACCCTGAAGTTGACATTTACCACGTCCACCAGCCACGTAACAACAATTGGAATATATTTCCCACTATATTTTAAGTTTATTTAAGAGGGCATATTTTTGTAACTCCGGATACATTAAATAAATATGTTATATTATTATAATTATTCCCTTGTCTTAAGGTCTGAAAAAGGTCCAGTTAAAGGTTTAAAAGATCATTATCATCAGGACATTTAGTCTCCACTGCAGGAGCACGCTGCACGACCCTCTCTAAAGACAATGGAGGATTTGGGGTTAATAGTAGTTTCGCACGATTTTCCTTCGCACGAATGTGCGAAACGTCCTCTTTCAATAATATTTTTTTTAGTAGGCGTTTCGCCCGGATGTATCAAAAGTATTAAAAACGATGCGATGAACGGGTGCGATGCGAAACGCATACTACTAGTTAAAAAAAGAGACGATTCGCACGCGATTTTAAAACTTTTAATACACCCGGGCGAAACGCCCACTAAAAAAAAATATTATTGAAAGAGGACGTTTCGCACATTCGTGCGAAGGAAAATCGTGCGAAACTACTACTAACCCAGGATTTGACCTTAGGTTGGAGAGGTCTAATGTTTGCATAATGAGGGTTTTCGCGAATGAAAAATCCGCCAGATGGCAATACGTAGACGCGAGGTCCAAATGCTGCATGATTGGTTATTTTTGACATGGCATTGACAGATATGTCAAAATCCACCAATCACGCAGCAGTCAGACCCTACATCCACGTCCCGCCATCTAGCGGATCTTTCATTAGCGAAAACCCTCATTGTCTCTTTATCGCTTTTTATGATATCCACGGGGATATAATTACTTTTATGACTTATATTATGATTTTTATGACATAAATAATGACTAAAACTTTTATGATTTATATTATGACTTTTTACAAGTTATATTATTACTTTTTCGACTTATATAACTTTTAAGATTTATATCATGATTACTTTAAGTACTTACGATTTGTATGCATTTTATCTTTTTGTTCTAAACCATGATTTGTCCCCCAGACGGAAGCTCAGACGATGGCGACGAGGCCGTCATCAGCCCTTTTCGGAGGGTACCCTACGCTACCACCGGTCCCTATGCCCAGGTGGGTTGTTGTATTTATTTAATTATTAATTACCAGCTAAGTATCGTAGGTATCTCGGCGAATTTCGTTCGTGCCGCAGTATTTTTTTTCGTGAGTATAATATTTCTTTATTTTTTTTAATTGTTCAAGAAACAATAAAAATATACGTATCTAATTTAACTACATTGTTTGAATGTTAAATAAAACCTGTAAAACTGTAATCTCACAACACATTTACGCCGCTGAGTTTTTACACTTGCTCCTACGATTGTAAATAATTAAATACGTTTGCAATACAATTTTGTAATAATTACTTTGACGCTATAATCATTGTAAATTATTTTGTTTACTATTGCAGGATGGGTCTACACGGCAGCCACCACACTGGAACATTGAACACGGTGGCTTCACGGGCTAATACAGCTGCATCTCAACACAATTTGTATGGTAAGTCGTTTAGGAAAATGTTATTTAAAATTTTTGGGGTTGAATTGAAACTTCAGTTGTTTTTTTTTACCCACAACGGAGAAAATCTTGACCTGAATCTCACCTGATGATGATTTTGAAGGTGGTTAAAGGTACTCAGAATCCACAACAACAGAGCAAACAAATTATAAAACCAGATTAATTTTCTTTCTTTTCCTTACGGGACTATTCCCATCTCCTGTTCCCACCGCTGCAACTCCTGTGTAGCCAGGATCTACAGCTTGACCGTAATCCAACCAGTGAAGGCCAAGTTTGTCCCAGGGAAAGTTAACTGTCATTGGAACTGTATAACGTAAGTAAAACCAAAGTTCCAATGACAAGTAATGTATGTTCGCCTAATGTTAATATTTTTGGCATTGAAGTATAAATAAATAAATAAATATTACTTATATGACATTATTTTCCATCCAGGCTACACCAACCACATGGCGACGGAGTCCACCAGCTCGGAAGCGTCCAGCCACGTGCAGGAACGAGCGGATCTTCTCGTGCCGCGGCCCAAGTCCAGAGCTAGGAGTATGCACGTAAGTATTTACAACTGAGTTTGATAATTTTTTTTTGTTTTGTTTTTAAGTACACTTGTAACCCAAGCATATTTAGCTTTGTGCGAGAGGGGTTAAAAGGACTTAAAGAACTGTTTTTTTTTTTCAAAATTTAAAACATTATTTTTATAAACAAAATGTGGTTACTCTAAAGTTCAGAATATGGATTGGTCAAGTCAAATTCTATATTAGTATAAAGGTCCTTTCTTAGGACATCTATACATGTCCCAAATACTTATTTATAGCTTGCCCTACCACCACTCCAGGACAACAAATGGGCTGGTGCTGAGAAGAAGTGGCTGAAGGAACTTAGTCACATTTGTCAGCCAATGTCAAAAAATTGTTTCGATTCGTCAAGCAGTTTCTTCCCTTGAACTTCTTAGTTTTTTCGTACTATGTCATTTCGAATATACCACAGTGTTCGGTCCCAGGCTCTTATATTGTTATTTTAATGGTTTATTATTTATTACAGAACCAAACAGGGATATACTACGACGTAGAGTATGAGAACGCGCCAGAAGCGATATACGGGACGAAGGGCATTCCTCTCTCTACCTACACCGTGAGTAGGGGGCCTCCCTTCTACAGATAGAGGTATTTGTAGGTAAAACTGCCTAAGTATACGTAAGGAAAAAATACTTGAATGAAAGTACTGGCCTTTTCAAGATGAAAAAAATTATAAAACACATGATGAGAAGCCCGTCAATTTGAGGCCCTTCTTTCTGCAGCAAGTTTATTGTAAGTATATTGGCCTTAAAAGAAAAATATTTAAAAACCTCATTTAAAATAGACCAGTATGCTTACAAAAACTATTATTGGACGAAAATGAAGGTAAATTAGAGGAAATCCTATGATTTTTCACTAGTATATTTTGAAAAAAAAAATGTAGAAAAGAAATTTAATGTGAATCTGGTACTGAAAATTAAAAAAAAAGTTTGTAGATTTGCCACACAGTCAACTCGTCACAGAGAAAATTATGGTTTTGTGAAAATCATGGTTTTTATCACACTTCATGTATTTTTCGTGACAAGTATTCGTTGTTAATGACGAATTTACTTAAAAAGTGTGACGAATTAACAATAATATTTGTATTGAAAGATCTGAATAAAGTAAGTAGCATTTGATTTTGTGGATAATGATTTTGTGGATAAAAGTAAATTATTTTGGTGTTAGTATAAACTTAAAAAAATTTTAAATTTAGCTGTATAATGTAATATAAAACAACAAAAACACTTTTGCATTTAAGAGGTTTAAACATATTTTTTTACTTGGATTATATAATTTTAAAATGTACATAAGACTGCTTTCAACGACTATTTGTGATTCTTTGATAGGTTTTTAAAATATTCTTAAATTAATCGCATTTTTTATTAAAATGCATACCGTAGTATAATCGGGATGTAATGTAATCCATAATTGAATATAATTTTTATATAAAAATATTGAGAATTTTATCAACAAACAAGAACCACATGGTGCCTTTTTGTAATTGCATATTAATGTAAATATATTTTCATCAATTCTCTTACTACGTGTTCATTTTGATTTGAGGGTAGAGAAATGCTAAAATTTTATGATAAAAATTCCATCAGAATCATTTTATGCCGCTTTTTTCACACGTCAACATATTTATCGAATAAAAATAGTCATTTTAACATAAAATATTACGTAGAAGGTGCATTTAATTGTACATTAAATGAAGTTTATTATTAAGTTTAGGTAAATGTCAAAACTATACTTTTTGATGTTTGTTTTACCCTGTGTATAAGTTATGGTAAGGTTGTAACAGTTATATAAGTTTTAAAAATATTGTTTATATTTTAATAATAAATGTATAAAGACTAAAAGTTGGCTCCATTTATTGATTCCATGACTTCCATTAATATTATAGTTAGAGGTTTGTATAATTTATATTTAATCAAAACGTACTTTTTAGAACTTATACATGATTAATGTCATAATATAAGTTATAAAAAGTACTTTTTGATGGAAGATTAAGAAAAAAAACGAGATTTATGTATAAAACAATAATTTATTATCTTAATTCAATACAAAATTCGTAATCAGAGAGTAAGTAAATCTTAAATATTACTTTTAACTTAAAAACTACTCAACTGGCATCATTAATGTATAAAATCATTAGCCACATATAAAACAAAATAGTTATCAATTCAATATATTTCTTATTTATTATAGAAAAACCCTTAGACCACAAAAGTAATACTCAGTCTTATAGGAATTCTTTAACAAACCTGCCCCATCAAAAAGTAATACTAATACGAGTAAATGCACTAAGTAAAAGTTAATTTGACAACTAAAAACTCTCCTTTTTCCTGTCAAAGAGTTATATTATACGTGGCCAAGGCGTTATACCAGTTATACTAATAATTTCATTAATATTTTTCTACATCGAAGTATAAATTTTAATGAAAAATAATACATGCATCAGTTTTTATACAATGTAGGTGTCAAAGTATAAAAAATAGGTGTAAATTGTAAGAATGGGTGTCAAATTTCTAATTTTTACACATTTAAATAAATTAAAATATCTTGTAGTGCCACAAGTAGCAAAGGGTCTCAAAAAAACTTTCGATTTATTCATGAAAACAACTGAAAAATTTCAGAAAATACCAAAAATTTATCGTCGAGTCTTGAAAATTGCTGAAAAGCACCAGAAAAGACGAAAGTTTGACGTTTTTGACAGCTGTCTCAGGTACACAGTTTAACTACTTCTTGAGGTAGCAGTTGTTGAGTACGTTGTAGTTGAACCTGTATCCGGATTCTGCGATGTCGTCGGTCACCAGATTGTCGCTGTGGAAGTGTACGTAGAGCGGGCCTGGTGGTGTTGCTGTAAGAAAAAATAATTGTAGTTAAAAAGAGGTACTAAAATGGAAGGTACTTTTAAAACCCTGTATAACCCGGTCAAGCAAACTGCGCACCTCGCTGGAATGCAACTCTCCCGCGCAGTCCCGCGTTCGCCCAGTTCGTGCCAGAGCGACGATGTACAGTGACGGAATGAAAAGGTTCGTCAGTTTTCAAATTGATTCCTTCAACGAATCGCGAACACATATTACCTTTTGAAACTATGTTACAGAATAATCTCGAGTTAGAGAAAATAATCTTTAACTGTCTGTCAGTAAAGTTCAAAATTATTTAGATCAAAGTTGTTTGACGATTTAACTTGTCAAGAAGATTATTATGATTGATAAACTAAAACCTTCTTGTTGGTTCAACCTGCCATTATTATTTCTATTAAATAAAAAAAAACTACATTTTGTAACATTGCACTGATGCAGATGGGAGAGAAAAATAAACAAGCAAAACCTTATTCGTTAGCAAACGTCATATTTATTTAAATGTTAGCAGCACTGTTTCTTGCACTGTTATGTTGGCAGATTTGACTCTTACAGTACCTAGTGCAAGCGAAAACCGACACTAAGGTGACGAACCTTTTCATTCTGCGACTGTACATACGTCACGGCCGCCAAGTGCGCAGTTAACTTGCAGCGTTGTAAGCCCTGTCTGTCTAAGAAGATTCCATAACGTAGGGTTTGTGAGCGTACTGGTAGAATTTAACAAATAGGTATAATTATCTCCGTTCCATTTTTAGGGCCACTATTTTATGAGTGAGAGTGATAAAAATAAAACATCCGAGCGACTCGAGAAAGCACGAAATTTTTAACATGGCCATCCTAGACTGCATCTCACTTAACATCAAGTGCGATTGCGGTCAAATACCTCTGCCTTGTCTATACTAATATTTAAAGAGGAAAACTTTGTTCGTTTGGTTGTAATGAATAGGCTCAAAAACTACTGGACCGTTTTTAAAAATTCTTTCACCATTCGAAAGCTACATTATCTACGAGTAACAGGCTAAATTTTATTTTGGAAAAAATAGGGTTCCGTAAAATATTTGGGTTTTTCGGAGTCCACGCGGGCGAAGCCGCGGGCGGAAAGCTAGTTATGCATAAAAAAATACTGAAAACTTGGCTGTATGACGTAATGCCCAAGCCTTTTCCTGCTGCAAAGGAATAATAGTTCAGTCATTATAGTAAGTTCACCTCGGAATTCGAGATACCCAGCTGTTAGTCTGTAAATACGTGTATATTGACACCCTAAAAGTTGTCTCAAAACCTACATATGGTAGGGTGTAAGCAACTATTAAATTTCAAGGTCAACGGTCACAAAAATCGGTTTTTTGCGCATTTTTTAGAAATATCTCATTTCCTATGGGTTTTTTGCTATTTGTATTTATAATCAATATTGTAGAATACAAAATTCTCTACAAATTTTGTTTAAAAAAATGTTTTATACGGTGAACCGTTTTCAAGATAGAGGGCGGAGAGCGCGCGGTCACTGCATCACTTCAGGTCAACTTAAGCGGTTTAGATTTTTCATACAAAAGGATTTTCCCGCTAATTCCCGTTCCCGTGGGAATTTCAGTAATTCCTTGTTGTAACTAAGCTTTAAGTTTACTAAGGTATCTACATGCCAAATTTCAAGCGTCTAACTTAAGCGGTTTAGATTTTTCATACAAAAGGATTTTCCTGCTAATTCCTATTCCCGTGGGAATTCCTAAGTATACTATAACCTGCCCAGGAGTATGAAGAATAATTGTACCAAGTTTCGTTAAAATCCGTGTAGTAGTTTTTGTTTCTATAAGGAACATACAGACGGACAGACAGACAGACAAAAATTTTACTGATTACATTTTTGGCATCAGTATCGATCACTAATCACCCCCTGATAGTTATTTCGAAAATATATTTCATGTACAGAATTGACCTCTCTACAGATTTATTATAAGTACTAGCGGCCGCCCTCTATCTCGAAAACGGTTCACCGTATAAAAAAATTTTTAAACAAAATTTGTAGAGAATTTTGTATTCTACAATATTGATAATAAATACAAATAGCAAAAACCCATAGGAAATGAGATATTTCCAAAAAAAGAGCAAAAAACCGTTTTTTGTGACCTTTGACCTTAAAATTTAATAGTTGCTTACACTCTACCATATTATGTAGGTTTTGAGACAACTTTTAGGGTGTCAATATACAAGTATTTACAGACTTACAGCTGGGTATCTCGAATTCCGAGATTCTTACCTAATTTAAGCTTAAATGACTGGACTATAAACAAAAAACCTATGTTCGATTTTCAAATTAATATTTTGATATGTTAATAATAAACGAGCGTCGGTCAGTATTTTGAAAATAGAACCTGCTGTGACGTCAAGTTTTTCTATACAAACTGTCATAAAATGTATCTCAATTGACTAAAACTACCCGTTTTTTGTCGAAGTATTATTTTTTGTCAATTTTAGTTTGCGAACTATCGTGGTTGACTCCGGTCGTCGTCGCGTTACCGGAGTCAAATTTTTCTTGGAAAATTCTACCGTGGAAGTTTCCAGCAGCCGGCCGCCCGCGATTTCGTACGCGTGGATCCCGTTTTACCCCTTTAGGGGTTGAATTTTGCAAAATCCCGTCTTAGTGAGCACCTACGTTCTAAAAGGAACCTCCATGCAAAATTCGAGACAGCACTTGTAGCACAAAATTGTTGCACAAAAGCTTGTAGTTTCTGAGATTTCGTGATGAGTGAGTCAGTCAATCAGTGACCTTTTATAGTTACAGAGACAGCAATCATTTTTGTCTACCGTGCATCTTGTACCTACTTTGAACCCATATTTTGACCTCGTGAGACCTATTTTGTGTTTTGAACTTATATTGTGTTTGTGTAGTGTGTGTTTATGAGGTGATAGTGTATTGTGAACTATTGTGTAGTGTTTCAACTACTTCTACTCTGGAGGGAGAGGCGATTCCGTGGCGTTGCTGCTGAAATGCTGAGCTGCGGAACGGGTAAGTAAGTAACGTTTTTTTTGTGGCGGTTAGAAAGCAGTAAATATGTAGCTATTTGTACATATTTTTTGTGTTTTATCACCTGTTTTTTACAAGCGGTAAATGTTTAGTAGAATCCTCTTTTTGTCATCATCCCACGAAGTGAATTAATTCAAGTTTTGTGCATGTAGATAATGTAGGTAGGATAAATACAGTCCATATTTTACGTTATAGAAATTATACAAGACCAGAAAAAAACGTAAGCTGTTGGTTTAGTGGATGAAATTAAATGTGACAATCAAATTACAACAACAGTTGTAGTTCCAAGCTCACCTGAGCTACGTGGCGCCCAACGTGTAATCCCTACTAATATTATAAATGCGAAAGTAACTTTGTCTGTCTGTCTTGCTCTCACGCCTAAACCACTGTACCGATTTGTTGAAATTTGGCAGAGAGATAGTTTGAGTCCCGAGAAAGGACATAGGATAGTCTTTATCCCGGTTTTTGAAACAGGGACGCGCGCGAGAAAGTTATTCTGTGACAGACAAAATTCCACGCGGGCAAAGCCGCGGACGGAAAGCTAGTTATCAAGTGCACAAAAGCACACTACCATAATGACGCTCGGATTGCTCGGATCTAACTCCCCACACCCGCAATCCCTCAAGTTCGACCAAAAATTGGTGGGGCGCGTCTTCGTGGATGAAACGATCTATAAAACTCACAAGCAATAATCTGGTTAGAAGCGCTGGTCCCGCAGAACTTGGAGCCTCTCAGGCCGTCTGTGGTCTCGGCCTCCGGTATGAACAGGTAGTCTTCAGACTGCGTGGCGCCCTGGGTCACCGGGTTGATCTGACAGTCCGTGTCGAGGTACAGGTTCTCTTCCTGACGGTAGGCCATCTCGAAGCTCGCTGATGTTAGCCTGTTGGAAGAGTTTTAGGTTAGTTATTAAAATTTCTAGCGTTAAGAGTTGCATCTGAAACTAAATTATAAATAGCAAAAATCACTACCTAAGGCGGGGCTGGGAATCGAACTCACGATCATTTCGCTTGGAATGGAAGAGCAGTTGCCCGGCAAGCAGTGCTGATTTTTTAGATTCTCATCACATTATTTAGCCACGCAAGTCAAATAAAGATTGATTCATCCACGAAGACGCGCCCCATCAAGTTTTGGTCGAGGGAAGCGCGGGGTGCGGGGAGTTTGATAATTTAGCGTCCGATAACACTCAAACATTAGCGGAATAATGGTGGGGCGCGTCTTCGTGGATGAAAATCTATAAATGTTGGTACCTCAAAAACTTAATCTATTTCGGGTATATTTGTTAATCTGTCGATCATGATTTTTTTTTGTTTTACGAGTGGGTTCACCACAACAGTCGAGCGGCGGAGATTGAACCCGCGTTCCTCGGATCACGAGTCGGCTAGTCCGACACATTCATCTTAACGTTCGGCAATCGTCGCTTCAAGCTCTTGGCCTACATCTTAAGGCTAAACTGTAGCTTCTGGCTACACAGGAGTTGCAGCTGAGGGAACGAGAGGTGGGAATAGTACCGTGCCTGTAACTTGACGAAGTAATGGTTCAACTCACTTGATACCACAAACGTCGGGTGTTCGCTTGAAGCACGAGGCGTAAGCCAGGTTGGCGATGTAAGGGCCCGAACCTCGGTTGTAGTTGAACGATTCGAATGTGCCCGCACGGTCTGGGTAGAACTGCAGGCAGCCGGGGGGAGCTGGTGGTAGAAAGTAGACGGTTATTAAAATATAGATATTAAATGACGAGATCCGTAGGAGAACCAGAGTGACGAAAAATAGCCCGCAGAATCGCTAAAATCAAGTGGCAGTGGGCGGGGCACATAGCTCGTAGAGCTGATAGCCGCTGGGGCAGGAAAGTTCTTGAGTGGCGACCACAAGCCGGAAGACGTAGCGTGGCAGGCCTCTCACTAGGTGGACCGACGATCTGGTGAAGGTCGCGGGAGGTGCCTGGATGGTCTTTGTGGAAATCCTTGGGGAAGGCCTTTGTCCAGCAGTGGACGTCTTTCGGCTAAAACAAACGAACGAACTGTGCCCGTGACCTCGTATCAAGGCGTGAAAAACATTTTTTCCCGTTTTCACGTCATTTTTCATTGCCAGCTAACCTTTGGGCTAAACAGAAAAAATCGTTAAAATATCTCAATAAGGTATTCGTAAATCACCAATGAGGTACTCGTCTCTGTCAGCGGATGAGGTGAGGGGCGTGGAGGGCAGAGAGGAGGTGATCGCCTCGAAGATGCCGTCGCGGTATTTTCTGTAAAGAATATTATGATTATTTATTTATGATTATACCAGAGAAATCTATCTAATTCTTTCTGTTTTCGAGATATTTGCTTCGGAACAATTTACCCCCGGCACTTTCAGCCCCGCTCTCCCCTATACTTAAGTGAAGAATTGCCAAACTTATTAAGTGGGCAGTGGGCGGGGCACATAGTTCATGGAGTTGATGGCTGTTGGAGCAGAAAAGTTCTTTAGTGGCGACCACGGGCCGAAATACGTAGTAGGTGGACCGAGCGACGATCTGGTAAAGGTCGCGGGAGGCCTAGATGCCAGCAGCGCAGGATCGATTGGTCATTGTGGAAATCCGAGGCCTTTGTCCAGCAGTGGATGGACTTATAGACATTTTGAAAGGATAGTCCTTCTGTAAAATACTCACCCAAGAGTGTTGAAGCACTCCAGCTGGGTCACCTTGATCTTCCACGTGGCTTGAGGCAGGTTGGGCTGCGTGCTGCGGTCTGCGATCTTGAAGTTGATGCGGATGGAACGGCTGTTGGTGGACGCGTTCACGCGGACGTATACTGGAAGAGAGGATGGTTTTAAAGCTTGGGAGAGACGTTATACTTAGTGATGTTAAACCTTAGGAATTGTACTGTGGAGCTTGGAAAGGAAGATAGACCTTAGCTTGACGAATGGTTTATGTCTAGTGTTTTTTTTAAATACCTACCTATTCTAAAACGTTTTGAGCAGGACGACATTTAGTCGTGCGTTTGCAAGACCGCACAATACGATAAAATAAGTAGGTAGGTACCCAGTTGTCATATGATTTTTCGGGTGTGGTCATGCAAACTTCCTATTTGAAAGAGCTTTAAGACCTAGCGAAGGCCGATTTAATGCTTGAGAAGGATGTTTTAGTTAAACCCTGGCTAGGATTAGATATTTTAGGCCTTGGTGGGAAGGACGCTTTAGAAGTTTAGATGATAGGAACAAGCAGTGGCGGCGTAGCATGGGTTGGCACCCGGGGGGGGCCCCCCCCCCCCCCCCGTCATAAGTCCTAAGGCACCCCCTGGTACCCCCCAGGATTTTGGGTTACTTACCGATTCGAACATTGAAAGACAATCGCACCCCCCCCAGTATCATGACATAGACCGTAGACTTGCCATGCAAATGCGCCAGTGAGTACTAATCTGCGCGACTTGTGTCACCCCCTGATGCTTGGCACCCGGGGCGGACCGCCCCCACCGCCCCCCCCCTTACGCCGCTACTGGGAACAAGGCTTTAGGGCTTATTATTAGGGCTATTTATATGCGCATTTTGTTCAGAAGTTCGGTCGTGTCCTTAAATTACCTAGGTAGTTATTGTTATAACTTAGTTGTCTTTTGTTTAGTATGTTTTCTGATAATGAAACTCACAGTGCTGTCCATTGTTGTCACCGCAAAGGGACGGCAAGACGTCGGAGTTGGCTTGCAAGTTGGTGATTTGGAAGATGTCATTGCGGCAAGTGAAGCCAGGGCGCTGGGTTACATTCTCTACTGGTTCTACCTGTGAATGTAAAGGCGTTATTATGGCTCCACGAAACAAAAAAACTTATGGCGCCATCTGTTGTTGAGTAGAACAACTAAAATTTGCATGCCTGCTGCCCTCTATTGTATTTTTTTTGGAACTTTAATGTAGGGTCAGTGCCATCTAGCGTCGAGTAGAAAATTTACAAAAAGCATCAGTTTTTCACAATATAATATTTATGGATTGTTAAACCAACTCTGCTTTGTTGATCATGATCATCATTGGGAACGCTCATTATTTATTTATTTATTTATTAAGGTACAGCAACAGATTGCAAATTATTATGATTACAATGTTTAAAAACGTTAAAAATCACAAAAGGACTTAATTATTTTTATAAAAATTGTGTCATTTACTAGCGCCATCTAGCCAAATTTGATGAAACTAAGTTCTGACTCAATGTCGAAAAAGCATCTAAACTAATTTTACTGTCATCTATCATGGAGTAGCGTAACTAAATGTTAGTCATGTTGCTTTTAGCGCCATCTATATTGAAAAGTACACTTACAGTAGATGGAGGCGCCAAATTGAAGGTTTCGAAGTCAATCCTCATCTGGCAAACGTTGTTGTTGTTGATTTCTACATTGTAAGAGCATTCTAAGCCTGAGGACTCTCGGGTCAGGGGTGGGTTTATGAATACGGCCACCTTCGTGTTGGTTCTGACGTCACAGGCGTTTACTGAAAAATAGTACATTTCGTTAGTTTTATGTAATGTAGTTACAAAGCTAAAGTAGAACTTGTAGCGACATCTAGCGGTGAAAATGTGCACAAAACTTTAGTACTGTTTGTGAAATGATTTTGGAATTTGGGTCTAGTTTCAAAAGAACTTTTATTCGCAAAGTCCAATGTTTTAGAGACCTGCATTAATACCATATTTTTACTGAGGTGAGGTGATTTTATGAGGGCGTATAGGGTTAAAAGCTTGGCTCTGCGAGCCTACCAGCCATACTTTTATTTGGCAGCATTTTCATGAAAATGTTTTTACTGGGATTTGTAAACTTACAAGAACAACACGTAGCGAAGACCCCACAGAAGCCGACCGCCTTCCCTCCCTGAGTGTTACACTGGTTCCTTGACAGACAGACGCCCCCCGTGGTCCTATCAGACCCCAGGCACGGCTCCCCGTTGCCCACGGTGAATATGCTGCCTGGTGCTTGTCTGATACCTGAAGATGGAGTAGTTATTAAAACTTAGAACACCAACTTAGCACACAATTTCTAAGCTATGATACGGGACTATTCCCACCTCTCGTTCCCACCGCTGCAACTCCTGTGTAGTCAGGATCTACAGCTTGACAGCCAATAAAAAGCCTAAGTCACGATAGCCGAAGGGGTCGGACCGACTCAATATCCTAGGAACGCGGGTTCGAACCCCAGCGCCCCGCTTGGCTACTTATTGTGGTGAAGCCACTCGTAACACAGGGAAAAAATGATGGATGTTGGTTGATAGATTTCATCGATGGATTTTTTATTTATTTATTTATTTATTTATAGGTACAACAACAGAATACAATTTTGAACTTTTAAACTTGAGACCTTTGGTTTTAGGCTCAAAATCATTTGAGAGAATATAAAAATGCGTTTGTTGTTTGCCTAACTAGAAAGTAGTGAAATGACGAGTTTTATTTTTTAAGGGAGCCAGCATTAGTCTATATTGTAGAAAAATAAAACTGGCATTTTTATCTAAACACTGTTTTAACATAAATACTAGCTTTACGGTCATTAGCTCCATCTATTATCCAGATGAGCAACTTACTTCTGTGCAGGTCGGTGGCGCCCCCGTAATGCGCCGCCGCGAACAGCACAAATATTCTGCCCAGCAGATTTAGCTCCATCTTGTGTATTATTTCTGAAACAAACAAAGAGACCATGAAAATCTTTCGTAAGTCCGGCTGATAAATGATTTATTGATTTCAAAATTCAAATCTAATAAAATCAAAATAAAATATGAATTACTTCTCTCATCAATTTAATCTATACTAAATTATTATAAATGCAAAAGTAACTCTGTCTGTCTTGCTTTCACGCCTAAACCACTGAACCGATTTTGATGAAATTTGGCATAGAGATAGTTTGAGTACCGGGAAAGGACATAGAATAGTTTTTATCTCGGTTTTTGAAACAGGGCGTGCGCGATAAAGGCTTTCTGTGACAAAAAATTCCACGCGGGCGAAGCCGCGGGCCGAAAGCTAGCTTATTATAACTATTCCGTAAATTATTTATCTTAGATCGACATTTCATAATAGCGGATATAGATATCTGATTAGCTTTGAATAACTATTTTTTATCAGAACTGCGTTTATTCAAGAGTATCATAGAGTTTATCGTATCTTTCTTCCGTTCGTTCGTTAATCACCCATAGACGACCACTGCTGAACAAATGCCTAAAGCCTTCATCAATAAATGGGCTTTCCAACACAAAAATAACTTTCCAAATCGGACCAGTAGTTCCTGAGATTAGCGCGTTCAACCAAACAAACTCTTCAGCTTTATAATATTATTAGTAAGAATTTTTTAATCAATATTAGTACGGATTGGAAATTGAAGGAGTTTTAACTCAAAAACAAGTTCAAATCGTGAGAGCACACCAAATAATTGTTTTTTTTACTTCACGTTCCTTAATTAACCGATAGACATAACCTAACGGCATCGTAAGACAGTTATTTTATAACGACACCCGAGCAAACAAGTTTCTTCCTACCTTCAGTTGTACCGTTAAAAGATATTTGTTTAAAGATTAAACTAACTGTTCAGTGATTGATTTATGATCTCTTAAGTAAGTACTTTTATGACAAGCTTTTGCAACAACAAAACGGGTTCAAGTAACTCTTAAATCGATGTACGAGTAGTCTTGTATTATTTAGTAGTTGGCTACTAACCAATAAGCGTACAAAATTGACCTTCATTGGTTGGGTTTTTATGGCGTTCAGGCTGTAGATCCTGGCTACACAGGAGTTGCAGTGGTGGGAATAGTCCCGAAGCGTACAAGATAGTTTTTCATAATTATTGCTTCCTGTCCATGGTGTATCATTTCTTAAAGGTTATTAAAACCTTTGTTTTGTCACCTGTCATCCGCTTTGCAATGGAGGGAAGTTGAACCCTAACTTCGAACTCCTCCTATGTTCTTCTGAATAATTTCGTTGCGGGTCCAATGACAGTTTAACTTTCCCCCGGGACAAACTTGACCTTTACTGGTTGGGTTTGGCGGTCAAGCTGTAGATCCTGGCTACACAGGAGTTGCAGCGGTGGGAACGAGAGGTGGGAATACTTAGTCCCGTTCCAGCCAATAAGACAGTCAGATTGAATTGTATTGATGTTACTAACGATATTAATATAATTTATAACTAACAAACTTGCTAGTATCATCATAATCATCAGGTCATCCAGTCTCCACTCCAGGAGCACGACTCTCTAATTTACCAGAGGCAAGAGGATTTGTCCTACACTCCCCAAGCTGGCCAGACGGGTTGGGGAGGCCTGATGCTCGCATATTTGTCTTGGTCGCCTCTTACGACATCCATGGGAAGAGTGGTGGTCCCATTCTACTCTGCCTGAACCACATGGCTTCTCATTACTTTTACATAATATGCCACTACCCACAAACTTAACCCCACCTGCTTTGGTAGGTAGGTACAATAAAATGAGGCTAGAAGAAGCTTCACAGATCTAGACTAGAGTGTGTAAGTGAAGAGAATATAACAATATGAAAAGTGTCCCATATAAGGGCTACCTTTTTTATTTTACTATATTTTGACGTTCATAAGTGCCACTTGTGATCTAAATTGAATAAATATTTTTGATTTTGATTTTGAGTAGGTATTTGTCATCACTAATCAATTAGGTACGTACTTTTGAAGACTTTCAAAACGAAAGTCCAATGGATTTTATAAGACAATACCAGCCGATGACACCATTATTATTTTTTAGCTACAAAGCAACCAAAAACCTTAATTTATAGTGGTTTTAATAAACAGATTCAGCAGTAGGTACTATGATAAAGAATTTATTGGGTCAAAATAATTAGGTAGGTATGTACTAGAACTGTACGTAAATACAACAAAGCTCTTAAAAACTTCAAAACTGATGGGCTTTTTGAAATAGTTTGTCGTGGAAGCCTCGTTAGGTTAGTAAATATTATTTCAAGAAGGAAAACACTTGAAGCCTACGCGTTTGGATAACGGGAGCTTGCGGTATGCGGGTTCGATGCCTGGCGAGAGCAAACAATTTTGACCAACAATTGCATAAGCAGTGGCATGAAGAGAAATAAAGGCCAAAATAAATCGTTTCGTCTGTCTGTGGGTACAATTTTACGTATAGCTGAACCGATTTTGATGAGGATTTCGGAGATACATAGAGCAATGGATATAGACACAGGTTATAGCATAAAAAACTTTAAAAAATATGTATCTTATTAATTTTAATTCTTAAGCTTTAAGCTTCCGTCAGCTCGCACTAAGCGTTTCGATGACTCTTTTATAATGCGAACCGAACAGCTAGGGACTGGAATTCGTTGCCTGCTGCTGTCTTTCCCGAAAACTATAATCCAGGCCTTTTCAAGGCAAGAGTGAATAGGCACTTAGATACAGGGCAGATATGTACCATCCTAGACTGCATCCCACTTAACACCAGGTGCGATTGCGGTCAAATGCCTTGATATGCATAAACAAAAAGAAAAACAAAATTGCTTTCTGCCATTTTTTTTTAATATCTAGATTCGTTCGTTCGTTTCAGCCAAATGACGTCCACTGCTGGACAAAGGCCTCCTCAAAGATATAGGTACACAACTATCGGTCCTGTGCTGACCGCATCCAGTTTTCACTTGATCGTCGGTTCACCTAGCTAATTTGGTTGTATCATAACCTAAATTAAGATAATCTTCAATCGTTCAAAGTTACATCACAAATCGAACTCCCGGTTTCGGTCGTCGAACTTAACGGTAGCCTACCGGTTAATATTTCACAATAACTTAATAAAATGCATTGATAAGTGTTTACTACGCAGATGAGTTAACACGTTCGATGGACTTTATACAGGGTGACAATGCAATCAGTATCAAAATTTTTGGAGCCACTCAGAATGAGTAACTTAATCGATTTACGTAAAGAAAACGTTTTTTTTTTCTTATTTAATTAGGCTTCGCCGGCGTGGAATTTTGTCTGTCACAGAAAAACTTTATCGCGCGCGTCCCTGTTTCAAAAACCGGAATAAAAACTATCCTATGTCCTTTTCGGGGACTCAAACTATCTCTATGCCAAATTTCATCAAAATCGGTTCAGTGGTTTAGGCGTGAAAGCAAGACAGACAGAGTTACTCTCGAATATAATATTAGTATAGATTTTTATCCGCTACGCGCGGTTTCAAAATTGGCACACGTGGATAATTTGCTTTGTTCATAGAAAAATACAAAACTGCATAGGTTAATAGACATAATGGTACGAAAATAAGCCTTAACCTTTAAAAATTATTATGGGCGGTGCAATGGGTACCCGCGAATTAGATTTTCAATATTTTTTTTTCGCGAAAAATACCGCGATTTAAAATAACAAGATAAAGTTGTACCTATTGTTAAATTGTTCCATAGATAGAGCTTATTAAAAAAATTGGATATTGATTACAAAATCACCCTGTATGGGATGGGATCAAAATTTGGCAGCATTGAGCTATCGATAGTTTTTAAACTTTAGCGTTTTTTTTTAAGGTATATTAAGAATTTTATTTCATAAGTTTGAAAACAGACCTCCCTTAAGTATTAAGTATGTAGTACTTTTTTATTTTTATGCGAGACAAGGCAGGTATTTGACCGCAATCGCACCTGATGTTAAGTGAGATGCGGTCTAGGATGGTACCTACATATTATATCTCTGTAAATGCCTATTCACTCTCGCTTTAAAAAGGCCCGATTTTAGTGTATTTCTATAAACTTAGGTCGCAGTATCAATTAATTAACAGCTTAGTAATTATGATAATTAGTAGGTACATGATAATAAAATAATATATTATTTATTTGCACAGAAACATACAATACAGATGTCAGATAAGTGTACATACTTAACAGCTTGACGTTTCAGCTGTGTTGTTACAGTCGTGTACATGAGTGCTATTATGAATGTCACCTTTGAGTACAATTGCTCTAGTTTTCAAATAGTTAAGTAGAAAAAATAAGATGGATAAAAAACTAAATAAGCCTATGGTGACTTAAAAATTAAATAGTTCCAACCCACAAAAGGTAAGGGGCAAAATTACATTTTATCATACAGGGTAAAATAGCAAGGTGGTGCCATTTTTTTAACAAGCTCCATAGAACAATATAGTACAACATAACTTTATCATAATAATTTTTAATCGTAGTAGGTATTTTCCGAAATAAATAAATATAGAATACACTAGGTACCTACTTCCTTACTTTTTAAAAGCTAAGGCTGGGTTGCACCATCTTGCTTTAACTTTGACAAACGTCAAAAATCTATCAAACTCCATACAAAAAACACCGGTTATCGTTTAAATGACGGTCAAAGTTAGGTTACTCAGCCTAAGGCTTACCTATTTTCGCGTACCATATTATTAAGCTTTGCCGTTAACTGTGTGTGCGTATTTTTCTATGAACGAAGTAAATCCACGTGCCAATATTGAACCGCCCGCAGCGAATAGAATTAAATGTGAAATAAAAAAATTTATATGAAAAAACAGTTACTGAATCTGTGTAGCTTCTGAAAATTTAACATTTGCAAAGTCATCCTGTATAATAGTTTCGTCAAAATCCGTTTAAAGTTTTTGCGTGAAAGAGTCAAACAAACATCTTTACAAACTTTCGTATATTAAAACTGCATTTATCACGTAACACTGTACTTTATGTACATTTTCCATGAATGCACATTCTCAGACAAAACTATACTATGTATTTTCATACTTAGTTACGAACGACTAGCTAGTACCAAAGTTTGACACTTAAAATATTTTAGTGAACGTAAATCTAACGATATTGGCTTTATGAAATAACTGCATTGGCTCGATAGAGTAGTGGTTGAACTGAAAGGTTGGGGGTTCGATTGATCTTTTTGAAATTAAGATTTTTTAACGTTAGTATTTTATTTTATTTGATTGAATACCTACTTTCGAAATATTTTTTTTCTTCTATGAGTTAGGAACTTTCATAGAAGATAAAGTCATTATTAAGATCTATGAATTTATTGTCTTTTTTTAATTAATGCCTATTTTTTATCATCTTTTTATTCCGAAGCTGTGATAGGGTTAATATTTTGCTATGTGTAAATAAATTAAAAATACGAGAATTCAATTTTTTATATAGGTTTTTATGTGGTACACTTAACACTGTATTTATGTTATTATGATGTTTTTTACATGTAGAGATTTTTCAAGCCAACAATTTTATTAAAAAAATAAAGACCGCACGTATTTTTTTACGACAGTTTTCTAATTTTTGTTTTCTATAAAGTCTTCACTATTCGTTAATTTACACAAAAAAAAAAATAGGTAGGCTTACTAGATCCTCAAAAAATATTTTCTATATCAATTTTGTTCACCACAATTTTTAATTTCATGTAAATTGCCCAAAAGGGTAATAAATCATTTTTTTTTTCACTCGAACCTAGTTTTCGTAAGTACATAAAACACAAAAAAATTACTTACGTGCGTCTGCGCCGACGAGCGAGAGAGAACTACGATAGTTACGTCATTCCGTCTCTTTTATACCTGTCGCCTTGGCAATGACCTCTCAAGAAGCTGGTTGTGGGCAGGGTGACCAGGCTACGGGAGAAATGCGGACATTCCTGCTTAGAAGTACACAAAATTATTGATTTTTGTACAGTAAAGTCAGCGTCAAAGTGACACCCAAAGTGACCAAAAAGTTGATAACACAACTAACAAAGACGTGTTGCGAACTTTTTGGCTACTTTGGGTGTCACGAACTACAAATTATAACTACATATTTGAAGCTGACTGTACCACGCCGAGTGGTTAAAGCAGAATAGAATATGACCACACCCACACTTTCTGTGGATGTCGTAAGAGGCGACTAAAGGAGAAATATGAGAATATCAGGCTCCATCTAATTAATCTGGCCAGCATCGAGAATTTAGACCAAATACTCCATCCGTCTCTAGCAAATAAGAAAGGGAATGAACTTCCTCAATGTAGAGTTCTTTGACAACGGGGAAACCCGTAGATTACATCTCATCTGAAGGAAAGTAAAGATCGAGCTGTTGATGTAAGCGGGCTTCACTCTGAATCCTCGACCACAGAGTATTTTTTATTTTTGAAATGTGATAGAGCGTTACTTAGCGTTAATTTATTTATTTGAAGTGTTTGTTTATTTTTCATTTTATTTTATTTGAGAAATAATTACATACATGAATGTATTTTTTTAAAGAAAATGCAGCGTATTGTTGGATCATTAAGAAAAAATTTTAGCCCGGGTTTATCCTGTCTGATACAAAAAGCATGGCCACCCCACATAGGAAGTATCCAGAGGCGATATATCTGGTATTATCGTGTACTTTGATGACCAGGAGTGGTGGAATGGTGTAAAGTTCGCAGTTCAATTCCCGGCTAGGTCATTTGGGAAATTACTTGCCTCCACACGTAGAGTTTACGAGCTTTTGTCTAGAATTTTCAAGAAATTCTGAAACTGCACTTTTACTGTTGCCTTGACAGTTTTCAGCTGGTTTTAAATATTGTTTTGAATCATCTCGGCAGTTCAAATCAAGTCGGCCGTTTGGTGTAGTGGTTCAGAACGGACTACTATGCCAAGAGATCCCGGGTTCGATTCCGATTTCGGGTTCGAAATTTAAATGATGAATTTTAATTTCTGTGACGGGTCTGGGTGTTTTCTATGTATATTAAGTATGTATTTACAAAAAAAAACGTATTTAAGTATGTTTATATCCGTTGTCTAGTACCCATAGTACAAGCTTTGCTTAGTTTGGGACCTGTAACGCCCCTGGGTCTGCGGGTGTCTATGGGCGACGGTAATCACTTACCATTAGGTGATCCGTTTGATCGTTTGCCTCCTGTCACATAAAAAAAAATGGAAGCGTAGTGTAAAATGTCCAGGGAAATTGATTTATCATTTTGTCCCGAAGTGGTGGTAGGGCAACCTGTATTTAGGTAGGTCAAATCCTCCATTTGCCTCGTAAATTAGAAAGGTCCTGTGGCTGAAATGATGATGATGAAATTAGAGAGGGTCTTGCTACAGTGGAAACTAATGATGATCACAATTTTGACACTCTAAAAACCACCATTATCTCGCTAACAATAGAATAAATAAATGTAAAGGTTACAAAACTACATTGTCTCAATAGGTGCTCAAACAGAGTCACAAAAACCCTGCTAAATGCACATACAACACTGCACCATGATACTATACGTTGTTGAAATATAGCACCTGTTACAAACCATATCAGGTGCTAATGTAAAGCTTGAAGAGCCGCTTAATTAGCATACAAACTGTCTAGCGCTCTTGCGCTAATAGAAAGTTATTAATAGGATCCTGTTGACTGGATCGGGTTCGTCTATTTTTCAACAAGTGAGTCTGTTTAACTGTAAAGACTGCATATCAAGTTATGCTACATGGCAAAAATATCGAATACTAGCGGCCGCCCGCGACTTCGTACGCGTGGACTCCTTTTTACCCCCTTAGGGGTGGAGTTTAGTAAAATCAGTTCTTAGCATCTATAGAGCATATACATTTAAATTTCACGTCTCTTACTTCAAGAACAGAAGACTTTCATACAAACTTCCAACCCTCTTTTTACCCCCTTAGGGGTGAATTTTGCAAAATCCCGTCTTACTGAGCATCTAGGTTCTAAAAAGAACCCCCATGCAAAATTTGAGACTCCTAGCACTTGTAGTTTCTGAGATTTCGTGATGAGTGAGTGAGTCAGTCAGTGACCTTTCGCTTTTATAAATATTAGATAGATTAATCTAAAATGTGTAAAATTAAGTCTATCTACAGTTAGGATTACCATTTGAAATAGTTACACCAGATTACACCTTTACCGGGACTATTCCCACCTCTCGTTCCCACCGCTGCAACTCCTGTGTAGCCAGGATCTACAGCTTGACCGCCAACAACCCAACCAGTGAAGGTCAAGTTTGTCTCGGGGGAAAGTTAAACTGTCATTGGACCCGCAACGAAAAATTAGAAAAACAGGAGGAGTTTGAAGTTAAGGTTCGACTTCCCTTAACAGGCCAGAAAAGTAGTGTAGGTAGGCCTTCCAAAATCCCTGAGGCCTGACGTCATTTTAACATTTTCGTTCGTTCGTTCGTTCTTTCGTTTGTTTCAGCCAAATGACGTCCACTGCTGGACAAAGGCCTGCCCCAAGGTTTTCCACAATGAACGGTCCTGCGCTGCCCGCATCCAGGTGCTTTGACTTTTTATGTTCAAGTAATTTTAGTTCATAGATTAAATAGCATTTTAAAACCTATTTCTCTTTTGTGTAGTCATTTGATTGACTAAATTCCGCCCCTAAAAGAATTTGGCGTAACTATAAACTAATATTTCTTTGGTGTAACGGTGAGTCTAATAATTTATTTACTCATGCTATATTACCTTAGGTAAGAAGTCAACGAATTCTGGAGTTTTTACACAACTTCTATTTGACATTGTAAACTGGACAGGGATAGTGATGTACCTTGGTATTTATCGATATCTAAAATTAAAGGGCAGGTGTGAGCAGGCGCCCCACTAGGTGGACCGACGATCTGGTGAATGTCGCGGGATGTACTTAGATGCGGGCAGCGCTGGACCGGTCGTTATAAAAATCCTTGTGGGAGGCTTTTGTCCAGCAGTGGACGTCATTTGGCTGAAACGAACGAACGAACGACAATGTATAGAGATAGGATTTTGTAAAGAGTAAATTTTAATTAAATATATCGAGAATATCTGTAACTGTAACGCTGGAGGTACGTTGTAGCATCTTATGTAGAAGTAAAAGGTACTTTTTTTTAACAAAAATATGTATTATACTATTTAGATGTCCTGTTGATGGGCTTTGGTTTAGCATTTATCGTGTCTAGGAGAGATAAAAGTCAATCAGTCAATAATACGGAGATTCATAAACTTCATCTAGATTTTTCATACCAAAAAAAAAAAGAAAATAGAGTAAATTATTGCCGGTGATGTCGACACTTACTCTATTTTCTTTTTTTTTACACTAAATAACCAACGAAGGAACTTTATCGACAACTCAAAACATCGATACTGTTACATCCCTACCCGAGGGCAACGCTCCATCTGTTTGTCGAGTTTCGACAGCGCCACTTCACTACGAGTCAATATGGCAGTAACTATGAGTGGAGCACATCAAAGTAGGTACAGTCAGCGTCAAATACTTCGTGACAATTAATATGCTCCATCTCCCTGAGTATAGATCGTTTCATCCACGAAGACGCGCCGCACCATTCCTCCACTAATGTTTGAGTGTTATCGGTACACGCTAAATTATCCATGAGTGCACACGCACACTACAACAATGCCTTACGGATTGCTCGGATCAAACTCCCCGCACCCCGCGCGACCGAGACTAAAAAACAAAAATAGGTGGGACGCGTCTTAGTGGATGAAACAATCTGTACGAGACTATTCCCACGTCCTCTCGTTCCCACCGCTGCAACTCCTGTGTAGCCAGGGTCTACAGCTTGACAGCGGCTTGGGTTGGCCCAACCAATGAAGGCCAAGTTTGTCCCGGGGGAAAGTTAAACTGTCATTGGACCCGCAATGAAATTAACCAGAAAACACAGATATGTATAACACACAACTACACAGCTGCTGGTGATACACAGGTGCTAAAGTGGTGCTCGGGTGTTACAGAAGGAAGGAATAATACGCGTGTGGTGCGCTTAGGGTTGCCAGATGTCCGGCTTTAGCTGGACATTTTTGTCTTTTTACGGCCTTGTCCGGCCAAATATTGTCTTATCCGGCCTGTCCGGCTTTTGTTAGCTTTTTATGTGGCTGCGGCACCCCCNCCCCCCCCTCTGATATGCTTAAAAAAGGTTTTTAGGGTAAAATGTCCGAAAAATACAGATATATTTTGTGGTGGCACCCAAAGGTTCGCAACGTCTTTGTTACAATTGGAATAAGGTTGCTATCAACTTTTTTGCTGCTTTGGATGTCACGAACTATTTGACGCTGACTGTACACACTGTTATTGCAAAATATCACTTATTACTAAGAACATAAGGTACAGAATGCAGCTAGATGCTGTTATTTGTATAGAACGGCGCGAGCGCACGAAAATATAGTTTGATTAAAGTAAATATTGTTGAATATTTTGATGAGTGGGCATTGATAGTGGGCATGGTTCCCACACAATGGACATCGTAGACAAGCTTTTGCCCACGCCTTCACCTTTCTTCAAAAATTATCCGATAGTTTTCCCATTTAAATTGGTTCAGTCGTTTAAGCGTGAGAGTCCATCTTTGGTAGAGTAGAATAAGGATTCCCACTCTTCCCATGGATGTCATAAGAGGCGATGGGCCTAGTTTTCACCAAAGCGGAGGGGAGCGGAGTAGAGCGGAGAAGTGACGGAGAGGGTAAGTGGAAACAATGAATTCTGATTCCGCACCGGTCCCCTCTGCTCCGCTCTGCTCCGCCTTGGTGAAAACCTTCCCTAAGGGTCAAAATAATACACGAACATCAGGCCTCCCCAA